TGGAGGTTTCCACAATTTCATAACATTCAACTTAAATTAAAGGAAATGTGTATTTCTGACCATTAATTACCATGCATGTAATAGCCTTTTCCCAAAAGTGCTTTACGTTACGTTACAAAATCTGAATAAATTTTACAACTGATTTGAAAAGGAAATTCCTCCTAGCATAATAGTTTCAAGAATAGCCAATTACATAAGATTTAGATGAATTAAATTTGATAATGAACAATTATTCACAGAAGAAAAAGGTACCCAATAATTTTGAGCAATTATCTATAACTTGAATAATTGGGCGGATATCGAAAATCCAGGCAGTACTTGTCGTACCGAGAAGTCACTTACGCATCCGTCTTGTGATTTTTCATTCGTTTTTTTGGAACTTTTGTTTAAGTTTGCTCGAAATAAAGACATGAGTATTTTATCAAAGACTTTAAGTAACAATACATGCGCACATATACGGTTTAGATACAGGTAGTGTGGTATAATGAACTTGTTTTGACCTTACTCGCTCTTTAATTTATCACTCGGAGAAAAGTAAATATTCATATTCTACTGTATGTTAGCACAAGTACGAATATACACTCCTAGTCTAAATGGATCGGTGCTGTTTCATTTGCACAGAAAATTTGAAAATTAATTTCGAGTTTATTTAGAAATGCCATTCGAGATTCGAACAAGCCGTATCATATATGCGTTCGTTGTTCGTTTTTTTCAGCTATATATCTCCATGCCAACATGGATTACATGAAATGTAAAAATGCGTGCTGACATGACCTGAACTACTTTATTGTACTTATAAAAACAACGAAAATTATATAATTTTTGTATAATATGTTTCTCAAATGATGCATAATTGGCGTCGGTGTACCTAATCATGGTAGTATTGAAAATTGATCATTTTATTGGCAGGTTTGTAGAGGTCAGTTTAGATGTCCAGTTCACCATATCATCAGCAAATTTGTAAAATGCATCGCATTATACTGTATCTTGACAGGGTGTAATATTATGTGACCAATGTAAAGATGAATAAACGCGGAAGCTATACGATAAGTATCGTTAATTTGCGCTTACATTACCGTTCAAATACCATAAAACAGCGTTTTGCACAAGTAAACTTAAACACGTGTAATCTTTTTTATAAATAATCTTTTTATTTAGTGCAATAGCACGCGATTGTATGTTATAAAAAAACATTTTATTATACAACCACACGTTTTCTGTCGTCAAATTGGACAGACAATCGCCATATCAGATCACGCACTCCAGATTGCTCAAGCCCGGAAACTCGCGCCGCAGTTGCGTTCAAGCCAAATTATCGAAACGAAAAACGGATGAGATATTTCACGGTTTATCTAAATATAAAAGAATTGTAGTAGCGCATAACTTATGTCCAGACCTATAACACGCGATGAAAAATCCCCTTCCCTCACTCGATACCTTTAATGCTATTTTTTCTGTTATCCTAGTAATTTGCATTTATAATCGATTATGTATTGATTAAACAAAAGATTCATTCAAAAAAAAACAGGATCGTGGATATTATTGGCACTTATTGTTTTACATTCTTTGGATTAATTCAATTAAAATGAAATGATATTTCTGACGTTTATTTTGAACTTGATGAACAAAAAAAATCAGGCTAAGTGGTTAACTCATTCAAAGTCTTGTAGTGGATTGCGAGAGAATTCCGGCTTTCAGGATCAAAAGCCGCCATCATCGCTATCAACAAATCATTTTGTTATCCTACGGGTCATCATGAAGCGAAGTAGTAGTCATCCGTAGTAATTTCGCTGTCAAATAAAAGGTTTCTGCCGCTTCCACAAATACGACATACTATCATCACATTTGATTTGAAACAAGATAATCAATAAAATAAACTAAATCATGTTATGCTATTATTTAATTCCCACGAATTCATTTTAAACCGAAAGCTGAACTGTTGTATATTCACCGTCATTAGTTATGATCTGAAAAGTCTCTCATGACTTGTACAAACGATTCAAAGAAAACACCATAAGTTTCATATTCATAAACCGCATATATAGTCTATTTCAACGGTGGGCAAACCGCGGCTCGCGAGTCGCATGCGGCTCGCCGGAGTTTTTATGCGGCTCTTCTCGCTGGCAATAATTATATATTATCCAAATTAATTATTATCCAAAGGAGAAACTGTAGCGTAACAGTTTTTTTTTCAATTCATTAAGCGGTTGAAGAATATATACTTTGCAATATTGTTATTATACGTTTGTGTAAAGTTCTTTTCAGTCCACGGTAATCAAATATTATTTATTTAAAAAATTATGCAGCTCTCACATATCACAAAAACAAAGAATAGCAGTGTCGGCACTTATCAGCTAGGCTAAGATCATTTAGGTCAGTCAAGCTTTGATAAAATATCAATATAGTTCGTACAGGAAGTAGCCTATCTATCCTAAGTTACATTATTATGAGGACTTTACTTACTATACAAAATCCAGAAATCTGAATCTAATCTACTTATGCACCATTGCGGAACCGGAAAAGTCACAATGCGAAAAATACCAGCACCCGTACTATCAACTGTAATAACCAGTGGCGTAGCATCCACCCCCGCAACCCCCGGGAGGGCCCACAGCGAAAAGGGGCCCAAGCGGTTAGAATTAGGAAATTTAAGCCGCAAAACCAAAAGCTGCATTGCAAAACCAGTAATGCACATCTTATAACGTTGATGTTAGTTCTGCTCAAATCGTTTTGTTACGTAACAATGCCAGGGAGTCGTCGATTTTCGGGTCTTGTGGTTTGATCGCACCGGCAAAATAACGAAGGCTGTCAGAATGATGTCGAGAGCAAAACCTCTCAGTGGCGCACAGAAACACAGAAAAAGGGCAGAAGAGGAAGCACGTATGAAAAAAATTAAAGTAACCAAGATAAACGGCAAATTTTAGGTTACCATTGCCTTTTAATAGCGACATGTTAAGCTTTTTGACGAAATAAAAAAAGGGTTGTTTTAGCTTATGTCCAAGAATTTTCAGGGTTATTCCCACGAAATATTTTTGCGATTGGGGGGGGGGGGGGGGCACGAGAGTCTTGCTACGCCACTGGTAATAACATTATACCGGCCAGCCACGATTATATGATTCTTGGCAGCGGAGCAGTCCGTAATTATAATAATGTAAATTATGTAATAATGTATACCACAACGCACTCTGAGCTAGTCTACCACCTACCAGATCAAAAATTACATTTCTTACAACATACATAGAAAAACAGCTTACCTTAATCGCTTCGTTCAGATACTATCGTGTCCTTTTGGTTCACTGTATGTATATTTTGAGTTATCTGTACTGTTCTAAGTCTTTTGACGCGAACAAAGCAACCAAAAATCTTCAGGTAAACAGCGAAGCTTACTATCGTGCGAAAACCCCGTCCCGCATAGTTGTGTGTTGAATCGTCATAATATGCAAGTCATTCCCACTTGTTCATATTATTCTATGTTGCCAGATTTTTTGTTACTTTTGAGCGATTTTGTGTTTGGAAGTAGAAATAACAGCACCGAAAGAACATATGAATAATTTGTTTAAATATATTTGAATTATCGAATTATGAATTTGAGACTTTGATATTTAAATTTAAAATACGAATATATATATCCAACTTTACTTATCCCGTACACCGTATTCCCTTAATTCAGTTTCGTTTTCCCCTTTATTTTTGTGTGTACAAAAGATGCAACGTATATTAACCGGCCATTTATGCTTTTAAGCAGTGGTGGGATTCAGCCGGTTCGCATCGGTTCTATAGAACCGTCTCACGGAATTTTATGAGATCATCACACCGGTTAGCATTACTGGTTACTGTCAATCTTCTGTTTGTAACAGAACCGGCTGAAAAATATGGCTTTTGTGAAGAAACCGGCTGACAAAAATTTGAATCCCACCACTGCCTTTAGGGAGTTCTCACCCCTGATTGAGATTCTGAAAACCCACTGCAAATTCTCAATTGTAAATTTATTTTCAGACTAAACAAAAACCAATTTTAAACAATAAAGTTGATGGAAGTTGGACGCTTCTACAATCAAGAGGTATGTTGTTTATTTTATCTGTGTTATTGAATAGTTTTACCTGTTTAATGTATGTTTAATGATGGCGTGTTTGGATTGGTAAGGATGGATAAAACCAATGATACGGTTGGCCCGGGGTGTTTCCCATGTTGGTCTCAAACTTGGTTCTGGGGTAGGGCGGCTTTCTTTCTTTCTGTATAAGTCAATCTTCCATGGGTTTAGTAGTGATATGACATACACGCCGTAGGATAGATAGGATTCATCCAATTTATGCCAGTGAGGTTGAAAGCTGTATGGTAACCTGACCAGACGACCGCGATAAATTTGTACAGTAAATAATCATATGGTGTTCTCGTACTGTCGCTAGTTGGAAAGTCCAGGTCAGATATGGAAATACTATTTTATGTTTCAAGGACTTGGATGGTGTGATGACTATATTAGAGCAAAATGTGGAATGTTTTTCTTAATTCCTCCTATCTATTAGTTGGGAGGTGGGGGTGTTCTAGAAGCGAAAAGTGTGTTTTTATGTCATAGGCACTTTCTAGCAGTATTTTATCATATCGTTTCCGAAGTCAGTTTTGAAACTGCATTTAACGTATTTCAAATCAGGGAAATTTACTCTACAGCAGTAAGTACCTTTAGATGTGTAAATACTGTGGTTAGCTGTAAGTATGCTTCGCCTTGTAGCACTCGAAACTTGAGTTATGGTGTGTTTTAAAAATCTTTGGCCTCATTCGAATTGTGATTCATAAGTTTATTGCGCTTTGAGCTTTCAATTTTGTGTTAATCGAAACTTGTGTCTTTGAAATGTTGGTTGTGTTTTAAAAATCTTAAGAAGTGTAGAGTGCCTTGAAGAAACCAATATCGATTTTAATTGCTCGCGTGATGTTGGATTAGTACCTTCAACAATACATTCGCTTTACGATATGGACAGATATTCTTTCAATATACCCCATAAATGTCATTAAAATTCTCAAAATTTATTTCCAATAAAGAAAAACGAAATTGAAAGTCACTACAATCAGAAAATTTTACGTTACGAAACATGAATAAACAACAGTTATACAAGATTAATATATTTTTATTTAATGTCTCTATCGATAGCAATTTACGGTATAATACGGTTTTGGATTTGCAAAGGGAATTTATCGATACCATATATAGATTTTGGCCGCTACAGATGTATTGAGACTAGGCGGAGTGAAGATATTAAATAAACACTGATTAAGATATAAAAAAGTGTGTAAGATATTTTGAGAACTGACTTCATAATTAATTGGAATTGTAACGGGGCTTTATGAATATCAGGTATATTGTGAAATGTCCCCATAAAATGAAATTGAAATGTCAAGTTATATCATAAGTAAACACGACGGCCCTTTACGACGATAAGTCATACAGAGCTCTCGTTAATAGCTCCCTTCAAAAAATTTCCAAATCAACACATAACTATCTTTATTTGCTTAAAGATGAATTATATAAAATGAAACTTTGATTCCCTATTAAGTTAGTTCAGATTCGCCCGGTTCCTCGTCCGCAATAGCTGAAAACAGCTCAAGTCTTGAAAACGAGCGTTTTATTCGTGGTTTACATCTCACTATAATAAAGCATCCGGCCGCAATAACGACGACTCCTAACAGCCCACCCAGAAAGAAAAAGAGTATCATGTATTTAGCCTCCGGAGATCCGGTAGTGGTTTGAGTACTTTCCTCAAATATACTTGATATCGTCCGGTTATTTGTTAATTCGAATGGATAATGGTATAACGTTCTTTTTCCACTAGCTTCAATCTGGTCGGCGAAAAACCAAGCTTCAAAATGGTTATTTCGCATTTCGTCGAATAATGTCATACAATGATCGTTGTCATTGACAACCAGAAAGTCGAATGGTCCGTAAATGTGTTCACAGAAGTACGTAGAGTCCTTGTATACCTGTGTAAACGGGATGCACCTTGTTCTCTTGTGGCAAACGTTGGTCCCGTCTATCCATTTAAAATCTGTCAAATATATAACGTCTATAAGATCTTGAAAAAGTTTAAAATTGCGAAGGGAATTTATCGATACCATATATTGTTTTAGCCTTCACATATGTATTGAATGACGTAAAAATACTTAAACAATTACTGATTAAAACAACAAACCTGGTTAAGATATATTGAGAACTTCATAACAAAATTGAAGTTGTATAGGGATTTTATGAACACCCGAATGTTAAAGAGTTGTTAAAAGGAGTTTTCGAATTTAGAAAAATTCATTCATTCGATCGTATTTATTTTTTTACCTCATATTTGCAATGGGAATTACTGATCTGATTAAGAAAATTAAAACAAATATCACTTTTATAAAATTTTGAGCAGGGTATATTTTGGACCAATCAGTCTTTTGAATTCAAAAATGACGTTAAAATTATGTTGGCATAGCCATAGCACATGCAGTACCATATTCACAAGCGCATAGAATTGTGCTTTATCTAAAAATACACTGCGCGTAGTTATTTCATGAAGGTTGCTTATTTATATCTGTCTGAAATATCGCAGTACCAACGTAAATATAGAATTTCGATATTTATCTCGGGGAGGGGAAAGGCGATGAGACGGCTCAATCGTATGGCGAATCACGGCCTCTCGTCAAGTTACCAGTAGGGCTGGGCATTTTCGAATACCTGATGATTTCAGAATCGAATCGAATAATTTTTTCGAATCGAATCGAATCTCGAATACTTTAGAGATATAAAATTGTATGTAACTTTTTTATTGTATTAGGTCCCCAGACACATAAATTACTGAAAACATAGAATACATCACTCAGGCAGATTGCTGAGCGTTCACACACAATAAAAAACACGTTTTCATCAATAACTCGCTACAGAAAAGAGTCATATGTCAGAGTTGCGTTGAAAAAATATGGCTTCAATACAAAAAAATGAAAAATTTAGCTCGACCATTGGCGGAGAGAAAAAAACAAGATGGCGGCGATTCGAAATTTTGCTCTGAACCGATTCGAATATTTTCATATTAATGCCCAGCCCTAGTTACCAGTTCATGTCGGTTCCATTACATTTGAACCCACGTACATTTGAACCCACGACAATTGCACCTGCATACTATTGCACCTATGGAATTTTTTTTTGTTTCACGGATATTTGAACCCATACTAACCCTAACCCATGGGTTTTAGCACCCGCATATAGATTGAACCCGCTGTATACGGGTGAAAATGTATGGGTTCAAATGTACGTGGGTTCAAATGTACGGTCACCGTTCATATCGGTTATGGGGTTAGTTAGCCAGTTATTTGATTCAGATGCGCGGATTTAATAGTGGAAAGGGCTGTTCATTTTGAAAGCGTAACTTAAAATATTGATTATTTTTCCATATCTTTGATTAATTGAATACTAAAAATACAAATACATCGTGGAATACTGAGCACGTTTTTATTATTGTAAATAAAATAACGTCACAAGTGAAATTGAATGTCTATATTTAAACTGATTTACCAAGATTCCAGTCCTCTGCGCAGGTTAATTCGTTTTTACAATCCTCCCACCATGTTTCACATTCCCTCCTACATAGGGGGAGAAAATGGAACTTTGCTTTTCTAGAAAAAAATGAATAATTTTCAAAAAATATGAATGTTTAGTTTTTTATATGAGAAATGGGTGGCTCCGTAAATTTCAAAATGAATTGAGAATAAAAGTATTCCCAGATTTGACATGGCGGTGCCGACAGCACAATCTGTGGCGAAATTAGATAAGTGTTTTGTAAATTATTTTCGGAATGACGTCAAAAAAAATGTATATTTGAATTGAATTTTGATGATATGATAGCGATTCGTTCAATCGTATAACTCTCTCATGTTTATCACAGACTTTACTCATTTTTTATCTGATCGGGGCTATGTAGGAGCAATCACTGACATATTACGCAATGTTACGAAAAGAATATGGTGAACTAATAATATATTGGGTGCTTCCCAAAGTGAATTTTTTAAATTGCAAAGGGAATTCATCGAAACTATATATTGTTTTTGCCCCCACAAATGTATTAAATGAAGTAAAAATACTTGAACAATTACTGATTGAAAAACAAAAAACCTAGTTAAGATATATTGAGAACTGACTTCATAACAAAATTGAAATTGTAAAGAGACTTTACGGACACCCTGTATATTCATCCGTCTAAAATTTGATATCTAACTCATCGCTTTAGGATTTGTTTATTAATTGAAACTTCGTGGTATACATTGTGACGTATTTTGTGGGTATGAGGTAGATTAGATATAAGATCAGAAATTCAACAGTTTCGGTGTTGTCACGTAACAATTAGTTCCGACGAATTAAACAACTACTTATTTCCGGAAGAACCGTTCCCGGTAATTTTAAATTCGTGTAATATTTGTCATTGAATAAAGTGCCTTGTTAATCTCGTACTCAAAGTGTTCGTGTTAGCTAATCAATCATATTTTATTGAGGCGCGTTTACTCCGATTAAGGCCCCAGACAAGCCAATGGTGACGAGCTCGGCCAGTAGCCGAAATTTATAATTGCCAATGTAGACCGTGTTGTCTAGCGTGGGTTTTCAATGGTCTGAAAAGCGTTTGGAGCTACGAAAAACTGCTATGTATGGTACATAAAAATGTGGCGCTCCGGAAGTATTCGTACCAAGATGACGCACAACCTGACAACTCTAACCCGGTACACCTACTATGTTCAGGTTGTGCGCAATCTTGGTACGAATACTTCGGGATCACCGAAAAATGTTAATACAGTTAACGTATTTAACGGACCAGGTGACCGTACATTTGAACCCACGTACATTTGAACCCATGTGTATATTCGCGGGTTCAATCTATATGCGGGTGCTAAAACCCATGGGTTAGGGTTAGTATGGGTTCAAATATCCGTAAAACAACAAAAATTCCCATAGGTGCGTTAGTATGCCGGTGCAATCGTCGTGGGTTCAAATGTACGTGGGTTCAAATGTAATGGAACCAACGGACCAGATATAAATTTAAAACAAATGAATTATATTTACCTTGATAAATTATCTATGTTTTTGACCCACGGTCCCAGATTGGGGGAGCAACTTTCGAAGCAGGACCTTCTTAGAAAATGACTTTTGCATTTTTCCGACATCTTTTGCCCACAATGATCAAAATTAAATTTCAAAATATCAGCAGCTGATTCTTTAGTGCAGCATGTTTTATTTTCCCAAGGTACACACGGGCCTGAGGTATGAAATGAAATTTAAGTTATGTTGAATCTTCCCTAACGTTTATCTTGGACTTCTAACAGAGTTTAATTCCATAATAATCAATGTCAATCGCCCGGTTACTAGTTTAAATAAGGTGTGGGGATAGGTAATCATTATTAATTACGGTAATAATAGGGAAATTAAATTATTTGCGTATAAGTAAATGAAGGTGCAAGGTTTAGTTACGTTCGGTTTCTGGCAACCCATATTTCAAGATTGTGTTGTGATAACCACTGAAGATTTTATGTCGAGGAATATATATTTTATCAATTTGATCATCTAAATATGAAGCAATTTCACGTCGCATTCTATCTCTCTTTTTTTCCTTATTTATTGATGTCACTTCGACGCTATAGTACTTCCCACAAAGAATAAAAATGATCAGAGAATACTGTCAATATTAGCGAGGTATTGACTACGTTATACTAATCAGTGAAAACGCTCCATGTATTTACTTTCATTTTAGCTTCAGAAATATTTCAATTCATTTATTAATTCTGATCGTTGGGATCTATCTCAAATAAATACCAAAATAACAAATATCAAAGAAAAACCGCAATACCAGTAAAATCGCAGCTTAATTAAACGAATTAACATCGTTTATTACTCCATATCCATAAGGTTGGTGGCAAAAACAGAAATAAATGCAGGTACATTCGTACAAGAAAAGACATAATGTCGCCAAAATGTTAAAATGATGAAAAAAGAACGTGAATAACATTCCAACAATTTTATTAAATTACATCGTGTCGCTGCAGTGAGCTTTGGTTCGACGCGATTTCCCTTCCCCAGTAAAACTATGTCTTTATAATTTTATCGTAATTTGTGTTCGATTGTTGTTGATTTTACCGATTGGAAAAAATAAACTTGACTTGACATACCTGTTAGATTCTTCACTTTCCAAGGGCGGACTGTCTTGTTTCCCTGGTTATAGCACATTTCCCGGATTTGCTCTGAATCTATTGCACATACAATGTATAAAACTAAACTTAAACATCCTAAAACAAATTTTAGGCTTTTCATTAACCTAGCCATGTTGATAGTGACAAACTATGAAGTAAATTAGTCAGTTTCATTTTAATGAAATGGCAATATCGCTTCGGGCGTTCAAGCAACATCGGCATTGAATTTAACCAATATTGAAAGTCCCGTAACTAGGTATTTTTGTAGTAAGAAAGAAACGGGATTAACTTATTACTTTACGGGGCTCCCGAAGTATGCGAACCAAGATGGCGGACATCGGAATGTAATATGTGTACTCGGTTAGGGTTAGGCCATAATTTTAGGTATAAATACTACGGGAGGCTCTTGGCTAGTCTTCGAACTGATAATAGGACTAAAATAAGGAAAATTGGAAAAGAATTATCGCCTAACCCCAACCTGTTACCCATGTTACGTTCCGATGTCCGCCATCTTGGTTCGCATACTTCGGGAGCACCTTACTTTACTTATTTCTTGTTTTGTTCAATGCCTCCATGGTTACCCAGATTGTGGTGCTTGGAGTCGATTTTCTTTTGTTGAAACGGCGACTGATATACTAAATCGCCTTGACGTACCTTTTTTTAAATACCATATTTTGTTCATCTTTATTCTATTTGTATAGTTCTGTTGCAAGGGTGCTGCCGCTCGATACTGAAAACTGGTTTTCGGCGTCAACTTCCACCCTGGATTGCGTTTTTTATTTTCTTTGAATTTGCGTATATAAACGTCGTACTTTCAGTGTGGTGAAGAAGTTTGTGTGACTGTGGAACATTCCTGTTTTTGTCTTTTCTGTTTTTTGCCAATCTACCCCAACATTGTAACTGGTGGGTTATCTATAAACGTTATCATTGCGATACGAATGAGAACATACATATATACTTCACCTTTCTTAGTTCAGATTTTTTGCATTTTCCGAATGTTCAAGCATGATCAACTTTATCTCTTTTTAATGTGCGATTATATGCAACAAATTTTGAGAGTCGTTTTTGTGATGGGGAAATTGTTTATTCCATTTACATTAAAATTTCATATTTTTGTGTTTTTGTATTCAAATGTAGCCATGGAATGATAAATGTATTTGACATTTATAATTGCTCAGTGTCTCAACACTGGTCGAGAATTGCTGAATAGAAGAGTCGACCTATTTTGAACCGTAGGAAGTTTATAAGAACCCTTATTGGTTATGTACTGATCAATGACTGTCACAAATATAAAATGCGCTAATTGTGCCTTCGTTGAGAAACGCTATATCCAGTGGCGTATCTATGGTGTGGCAGCCATGGCTCGTGCCATGGGAGCCGTATGAACAGGGGCGCAAAAAGGGCGAAAAGTTTTAATCGTAAATTATAATAAAATAATTTTAAATCGAAAATATTTGGAACTCGTATTCTCGCTAACATAATAACGTACAAGTATCTCAATTAAACAGCAGCCGTTGAATGGGGCGCATTTATTTCAAATTTTGCCATGGGCGCCATTTTACGTAGATACGCCAGTCACATACAAGAGTTTCAAGGAAAATGGTTCAACCAAATGATTGATCTGTAAATCGATCGACCACATATTTCAACGAACACAAAATTAAATATAAATAATAAAGATAAATCTTCAAGTTAGTTTATCTTGCAGTATGGTGAATTTATACAACATTTTTAAATTAAATTTATTTTGCACAAGAAAATCAGTAATGAATTAGAAACCCAGGGAACACAGTTTGTGCGCTCAAGATTATGAACGGCTCATCTGGAGAAGTGAGGCTTTGCAGAATAGGTGTGGATGGCATATCTACGTTTTTAAAATAAACGTTGATGCCCCTTCTTCGCTATCGAATGTGACGGCATTTGACGTCACGAAAGGCAGTGAATTTCAGAAACATTCCGTGAATAAGAGACTTTTAGCTAGGATTTTTATTTCTTCCGTATTTTTATCCATAATAAAGTGTATTTGTTTATGTATTATGAAAGTTTGCTTTGGGCAAAAATTTCTGAACAAGTTTGTTGTTCGTCATCCAGCGAATAACGACATATCATCTAAAAATTACGTGGCAAAAATTGCTCTCGGGGTTTCCCCGGGTTCGTGGGATATTCTCAATATATCTTGCATGAGGTTCATTCTTATTTCTCAAACGAGAAGGCAAGCATAACGCCGCCGCATGGCGAAACCATCGGTGGATGACGTTCTTCGAGAACCTTCTTTATGTTTTATGCAAGTCATTCTTATAATTACTCAGGCGTGATAGATCACGTGATCTAACGGTCTGGTGATTACGTTATCGTTCGTCATTCTTTTCTTTGTAGGAACCGTTGCCATTATCGCACGAGGTTGTTTGTAAATGTGGATTTTGTTGAGTCGATACAGGGCGGGTAATGTATAGTTGTATAACGACAAAGAACACGAATAGCAGAATAGGTTTTCTGGGTAATAAATACTGATATTAGACACATTAGCCTGAATTTCAGCTTACATGCACAAGCATTCCCGTAATCGATCATTTCGTTGTTTATAATTTTAACGACAAACTAAAACGTCACTGATGCCGGATATAGCGTAACATGAGGATACTAGAATGTCGTGATATGTTCATGTTGCGCTGCATCTTTAGTAAGCAAAACCTAAGATCAGATCAGCACAGTCTGACAGTACAGTAACATGTAAAATACTGAAATGTGAAGATTAAAAAACTGGCAACAGCAGAACAGTAAAGATTAAATTGTACCGGTACTGGACTAGCAAAATTGTTTGGATGATACAAAACCCTTTCTAGGGTACAGTTAGTGTGTCAAAAAGCGTCAATGTATGAATATATCAAGTTACTTAATTAAGGTGACTGGAGTTTTAGAATAAGATGAAAATTCTGTATTTATAGATTCAGACTATCCCTGTCAGACTCCCAGCAATCTGATATTGAGTTAAGTCTGTTTTATATTTTGTATTCGGTTATGATGTTAGGCAGCTTGAAGAGCAGATGCCTATTTCCATTTAGCCTTTCACAGTCATAACAGCTTGGAGTAGTGCTATCAATCTTTTTTTACAATTCAACAATCTTACACGCCTGCTGCCTATCGATTGAATCAACTCTATTAATAGTATAGTAATAAATATTATATTTCAAAAATTCATCTAGAATGTTAAAATACATGAATATGTAAAGTATTCAAAAATAGGACTCACAATTATTATTTAAGAAGTCTCGTATATTTACGGAGCAACATGAGAGGCCCACCGAATGGCAAACGACTTATTGGCCATGGGTTATTGGAATTGGCATTAATCTTAGCTGCTTTGAGACAAACCAATGTCTTAGATTTCTCACAAGATTCTGGTCAAGAAGAGGCTGTTTATCCACACGATGGTTTCTATGACGACGGCCCTCTATTGGGGATCGTGTCTCCAGCAATGCATCATTTTCAACAACAGCCTTTGTGGGGAGGACCTACACTCTCACAGAAATCTATTGACAATTATTATGACAACATAATCGACGATTATGACCATATAGTAGAAGAGTATGATAATATAATGAGAGATATCCGCTCTAGGCCACCAGCGATTATCAACCCAGCTGCTAATCATGTAAATGTTGAAAACCGTCCCCTCGAAACACGAAATAATAGGAGTGTCATTACTATGATTCTCAGTATACCAAACGAATCCAGTTCGTTCCGTTCTGATGGGGGAGTTCAAGTTTCGAGAAATTTCAACTTCCAAACTGAAGGGGCAGTTGGTGGGTTCGGAGTTGGGTTGCCATATTCTGCAGATGAAAGTTTTGATTTATTTAATAACTACGTACCTGAAAACATGAGGGACGATGACATCGATAATTTAATTCTGTCATCCATCAATGAAATTTCTGGCAACACTGCCAGTAACCAAAGTAATCCTGATGTTCGATGGCAACAATATCTTTCAGATTTTGATAACTTCTATCCTGGGCATAAATCGTTGAATTATACTTTCGAAAATTGGGGTAACTTTGACATTTTGAATGAAGCAATGCAAAGTGCGGAGCTGTTTTTACCTCTTGTGCCTAACAGTCAAAATTCAAGCGAATTAGAGTTCAACTCTTTGGCTACACCTTTGACCACAGAGGAAAATTCAGACCTTATAACGTCTTCTCGAATTGAAATGATAGAAACTAGTGAATGGTCGTCTCAAAACCATCAAGAAGACTTACTATTTCCCCTGTTACCCCCGCCATCATATGAAGAAATCATGGCCGCTGATCAAGCAAACAGAAGTTCACAAAACACAGTTAAACCAGAAGAATCCAATGAACACATGCATGATCACACTTATTTTAATTCTTCTACTCCCCCTCCACCAGTTGCCACGGTAACCCGACCAGCAGGGTACGCGATACGTTCACGTCATGAAGTTTCAACTCGTGTTATTTCGGTTGCGCCCCGTCCTCGACATATTTCAGGCAGCAGCTCACAATCTACAACTTCTGAACTCAGTGTAGTAAGTGAACCAACACTTGAGGAACATGAAATCACAAGATCTGGGACACGTCGTATCACGACAAGTTCAGAAACCAGCATCGAAGATATGGAGCAAGATTTTATAGGTGTAAGTGAGCTCGATTTGGACACATTTGAGATCACACCCGTTAATTCAGCGTCATCCTTTTTTCAAAATCTTACAAATGATGTCAGACTTCACAGAGAGGTCGTATTATGTAACTGAAAACCTCAATATACTGAACATAAATCCGTGTTGCCATAAACCTAAAAGGTTATAGCCAGTAGGCCGTGTCATGGGAGGTGTAGTATTGCTGAATATCCTTAAAAAATGTTGGGAAATGGTTTTTAAGAATTCATGTAAATTTATAAGAACCGTTTGTTATTGTAAAATTGGTATTAGATTTGTGTTTCATAACATTAATAATGTGAAATCTTACAGAAATAGAGAATGTTTTTGAATTATTGTGACTAAGAAAACTATAATTTAGAAATTTTGATTTCCATATGTCAGGCTGATAATCTAGAACAGAATATGTGCAATTCTCTGCAAAGAAGCCTTTTTGTATGATAAAATTGCTATTTAGATCATAAAAACTATAAAAATCGCCTTCTCAATGAAATATTTGCATTTGGATATTTATTTTCTGACTTGACGATAAGAAATATTGTTTTTCTTAAATCGGTTTATTCAATTTTATTTAAGTCAAGACATCGCCAACATAATTTTGAGGGGCCTATGTTTGGTTAGAACTCGTTTTTTCCCAATGTTTAATGAGGCGAAATTGCTGCACTAATACTTGCTTCTAAGGGTGGGATTATTCTGGCACTTCTCCAATGAATTTTGTTGATAGAGGAGTTAGGATAGTTCTAATCGTGTCGATCCATATCACACAATTCTCAACTAATTTCTTAAAGTCTCGGTAGAAATTGATGTTATATCATGGTGATTGCCCATAACCTCGCTCAGAGATCAATCTCTATCATTTCTGAGTGTGCATAGAATTTTCTTGAAAGAAAAGTACCAGTATATCTAACCTGCTTCGAAAAAGTGTTACTGTGTATTCGATATCATATCGAAATTTTGTTTTTGTGTTTGATTGAATTCTTACTTTGTTTCTATGTCTGATATGGCAAAAATTGTCATATTGATAATTGTATTGTTCTTCTTTACTCTTCGATTTTTTGTTGTTGTTTTCGTTATTTTTGTTTTTTAGTATTTTGCCAATTTGTGAACTAATTTTCATCATAAATTAGGGCTTGTTCCTGTATCAACTCTCTTAACAAGGCCCTTCGCGGGCAGACTCGTATGATTTTACACAAGGAAATTGTTTATTTATTTTAGGTGTGACAGTTTTCTAAGTGTCTTTATCTAAATACTATTGTAGAAATTGAATTCTATTACATCAATAAACAATTTAAATTGATCAAATGAGTTCTTTCCTTCATATATAATCCTACCTCAACTAACTTTTAAATGAAAATGAATGAATTGCTACTATGATATAGTTTCAAAATTGTCAGTTGATCCTAAAATTGATTTTCAAAATATCCTGTTTAAATTGTTGAAAATAATATTTTTCCAAAGATATATATTTATCAAATCAAACTGATAATTATTAAGCATTTTTACCCCGAGGCTACTTATGAGCTAAAAGCATAGCTTAGTGACTAGTGTATATTTTAGGCTTGCTATCGCGTTGAATTGCTAGTTTTATTTGTCATATGATGATCGGAGTATTATATAGTTAACACCATCTCCATTATATATGCTTTTGTGTCAGTGGATTGATATTATTTTATATTTGACAAACGCCACGATTCCTTGGACAGTCTTTGCTTGTATGAAATATTAAAGAATTAATTTTATGAAAGCGACTTTTGGACTCTTCGTGGAAATTGAATTAAAAAAAAATTTTGATCATATCTCTCTATTTCTTTGTTATTGAGTTCAAATTCCATTTGATGTTCCAAGTTCATTCATTATTCTTTGTTCAAAAATGTCTAGGTGTGTATTTTGTTAATTTCTTTTTCCAATAATTTCACTGACGGCCTGATGGTTTTACCTATCTGTGTGTTGGCATCACAGCTGCAGGTTACAAATCTCTGGTTCAGATTTCATGCCCCAAACTTCCAAGGTGTAATAAACTAGATAGGCATGGTCGACCCAGAGAGGTGCCAATTCTGCCTTCCAGCTTCGTGGGTAGATATCAGTGGGTGTTGTTTGGAGAAAAATGTATTTACCATCGTCATATAAAAAGTCATTATATGCACTGATTTGATTTGAAACCAAGTTTTTTACATTTCTGGATATCAGTGGCTGCCTATATATTAACAGCTTGGGGTCTTGTTTGGAAAAATATGATAAACGATGTCATATAAAAAGTACTTATATGTTCTGATTTGCTTTTCTAAAACCTGGTCACGCTTTAGTAGAGTTCTTTGTTGTCATTCTCTTGTCGTAATCCCTAATGGGAATAATATGTATGGTTTCCTATTGGGAATATATCCCGAGGTTATAAAGTTGTTCACCAGCAGCAAAACATTGATCTGAGATACTAAATACAAGAAAGCAAACATGTGAACATGAAAGCCATGAATGGTATCGACATCTCGTACTGAAATGGCATATGAAGGTGGATTATAAAAATAGCCGAATTTTGAACTTTTTATATAGAATTTTGGAAAAAGTAATAGAATTCTAGCAACCTCTTTCATCTTTATTCACTAAAAATTTGAAAGTGATTATTTCATTAGTTGCATGAGCAATAACAACTTACGAAACGATCTCCACAAGTCCACAATGTTCACATTTAGGAAGTTTGAATAAAGTTACTGGTATGTTACTATAGACATTATTGGATTGAAAAACTTTCAGAATTTTTTTCTAATTTTGCCTCTATGAAGTACCGTAAATTAAGCACAGGCTATAACAAATGTTGATTAGTTGAATCAATTGGGTTACTGGAATACCATTACCAGTATTTTACCACAATTCTCCAAACCTGGACAAGAGGCCATGGTTTGCATATAAATAAGTAATCTCATCAGATCTCCTCTCCCTTTGTATAAATATAAATGTCAGGGAAACTTTATTGTTTTTTTTTGTTGTTATTTTTTTCTTCATTATTATTATTGTTGCATTGTGCTTACAATCATTTCAAGCTCACACCTTTGATTCCATGTTCCGCACATTTAAAATTTATTGTCGGTACTATTATGCTCGTATTTCATATTTTCTAAAGCTGATTTAAAGTATAGTGAAGGATACCCACCTGCATAATAATGGTTTGCAATACAAGGATGTCCAAATCGAATATTCAAAATGATTCAAAATTATTTATTTGAAGCTGCTATCTGACACTTTTTAAATTTTCAAGTTTATGCGTGAACAGGATATGCATTCAGTTACGGTAATTTCTGAAACTAATATAAGAAATAGGGAAACAAATGAAAATCTTGTTCATATCAATGTATTTGGAATTTCTAAATTCGAAATAAATGAATATACATCGTTATACGGGACTAAGATTCCTTGATAGAAGTGTATCTGGGCCAGGGGGGTTGAGTCGGAATTCCTCACCCTTGAAATGTAAAAAATGGGGGGGGGGAAGGCCAGAAGATGGAATTCCTTATCCTTGAAAGGTAAAAAATGTGGGGGGGGTAAAGGTCAGAAGTCGGAATTCCTCACCCTTAAGAGGTAAAAAATGGGGGAGGAAGGTCAGAAGATGGAATTCCTTACCCTTGAAAGGTAAAAAATGGGGGGGGGGGGTTAAAGGTCAGAAGTCGGAATTCCTCACCCTTGAAATGTAAAAAAAAGGGGGGAATTGAGGGGTCAGAAGTCGGAATTCCTTACCCTTGAAATGTAAAAAAAGGGGGGGGGATTGAGGGGTCAGAAGTCGGAATTCCTCACCTCCGAAACGTAAAAAAAAATCTGTATCATAAAAGCAATTTTCCATCGCTTGTATATCTTTTTGATCCTCTTAACTCTTGAAAACACATCCACCTGCTTACTGATACGTTCTATCTTACAATTAGCAATCTCAGAACCTTCCATCTAAGAATTGAAAATTCCTTGCCACCATCTTGATCTGGAATTAGATGTGACGTAAGAACAGCAAAGCTATTAATTAAACCTTTCTTGCTCACCTATCATATGAAATAGAATCATTGTGGCCACCTAGCTATCATTCCTGGTCATTGAACCTGTGTTCTCTGTTCTGGTTTGTTTTCATACTATACAAGTTAAACTTGAGTTTTTTTCAGTGCCTTAAATTGCTGTTTTCATTCACTTTTTTGTCTTGTTACGTTTTGTACTCGTGAAATAAATTCAGAAATGATCAAAATGTGCTCAGTATCTTAAGGTTGGATCGCAGGAGAAGTCTAGCAAAACTTAGTTCTTAATCCCTTCCAGATCAAAGAATACGAGTGCCAACTCTATCAAGACAAAATCAGCTCAAAGCTAATCAAAACAACATTTTTGATATGGCAAACGGCATCCCACATATTCAATGATATTCTGCAGGGGCCTATAATTGGCAAAAACAGGCCATGTTGGGCATTTGATTAGGAAGTAATTCTTACTCAAACTCTCAGGCCAAAAATTGCATATTTCTGAAGGTACTAATTTTGAACCAAATTGGACACCTCATGGAGGACTGAGTAACCTGGGGTGGGCATGTCTTATTTTTAACATTTGTAGTCGTGGGCTCGCTTATGACAAAAATTTTCATCGATATGAGTTTCCCTTCCCTGTACAGAGCTACACACCCAATATCAATAGAAGAATTGCAGGTTTGCAGAAATTTCCACTTAGACCCTTGAAAGATGGTGACCGTACATTTGAACCCATGTGTATATCCGCGGGTTCAATCTATATGCGGGTGCCAAAACCCATGGGTTAGGTTAGTATGGGTTCAAATATCCGTAAATCAAAAAAATTTTCTGTAGGTGCAATAGTATGCAGATGCAATCGTCGTGGGTTCAAATGTAATGGAACCTTGAAAGATACTTCTTAACACGGAGTTGGATTCTTAATCATACTTGACCAATGGTTTATTTTTGCCAAATTTGGGCCTACAGAACAGAATATATGGGTCTGTTATTTGTCAAATTAAAGTTTTGTAAAACCAGTGCTATCAGGATTGATAAAAACGTGACTGAAAGCGGGCAAAGTCAACAGCTTTCCAATAGACTGTTGACACAGCCATCCACGCTGTCTTATCTGACAATGGAATGAAAAAGAGAAGCAAACACGAACCTCAATTGAAGGGTTGTGCTTTTCAATTCTGAAATCAGACTTAGCAGGAAGATCTATTATAAATATTGACTGACTCTATAACGTATAATTTTGTTTCCTTAAAAAACACTTTCATAACTCTTCTGAAAGTTTACATATAAGTCATGGATTTGACCAATTCCTCTCACACTGTGGCTAGATTAATACTCTTCGAGGTCATATAGAGAGGTGATTACACTTTTACTCTGAATAAAGTTGGCTCTGCAGGTAGCCACTTCAAATAGGTATGTTTGATAGGAACTTGGTATCTGTGAAAGTGTGCTTTAAAACTGTAATAGTATTACGTTCTCCAGGACTTTGCTAAGTTCCTAAAATGTCTTTTGAAGTTGGGTATTTTATTATTCCCTGCTTTTTATTCAAGAAATTTAATGTAGTCAAAATCCAATTCTAAGATAAGTTTTAAGTTAAGATACCCATAAAGATTAAAATAGTGAATGGGCATGATTTTTGTATCTGTGTAATTATTGTTTTTCCTAAAAAGCTGATTCATATCTTAGTGTTTTTATCACGGGCTAAGACCAAGTTGCAGACGCTGATATACAAAAAAATTTAAGAAAAAAAGTTTCGAGTCCAGCATCACTTGAATAACTTGATTCATTAATTTATTTGTTTTATAATGATGATTGATACCAAATTTAATATTTATAAAGTGGTATGAACGCCCTACTTCAACAAGTTTTTATTTGCTTTTTTGTTATCTTGCTCTTGTGTCTGAGTGGACAATATTGAATAGGGTGTGGTTGAATAAGAAAAGAATTATGCGTTTGCTCTTTCGTTAATGAAATTGAATATGGAATTTTACTGGTGTTATTTTTGAATCGTTGCAAATGGGGGTGTGTAGAGGGAGTGTCTATGTCAGAAAATTTTCTCATCATTTAAGCAAGTGAAAGTGCACTTCTTGTTATGCTCAAGTGCGCTATCATTTTTCAGAGTGGGATTATTTTTGAATGATGTGGGCTAATATAACAGGAATTGGAAACTGAAACTGGCAAAACTGAATAATTTTGAATATATTTTGAAGTCTTTTTAAGAGAAAAAAAATTGCTCAAATTACTGTGTTACTATGGCATTCATGAAATTTGCTGAAATAATAGTTCATTTTAAAAAAGTCTTTCTGAATGATTTTTGAGTTGCATAAGCAATTGAATGGTTGGCTTGACCGATGACAAATTTCAATTTTATATGTCAAGTTACCACACTTCTTGACTGTACCATAGACAGTAATTATTACTGCTCTATATACACCTGAGAATGACAAAATGTCTGAAACAGAATTAATCTGTTGTTGACCCGTAATATGAGTTATTGGATTTGAATTTATTTAAAGTTATTAATATCTTTATGCGTCATTACTTTATTGATCATGAAGGGATCGCTGATGAATTTCTGCTTTTTTGCGTAAATTTGTTGGCTTCGGACACAATCACAAACAATAGGTCGTAACTGTCAGTTAAGGTTATGCAAGACTAACTACCTTTCCTTGCTTTGTGTCTTGGTGCAAGAGCATATGTATGGGTACTCCTGAAGTATGTGAACCAAGATGGTGGACACCGGAACGTAGTATATGTACCAGGTTAAGATTAGGCCAAATTTCAGGTACAAATACTACGGGAGTCACTTGGCCAGTCCCTGAACTTGTAATAAAACTAAAATAAGGAAAATTGGAATAAAATTATGGCCTAACCCTAACCTGGTACACATACTATGTTCCGGTGTCCGCCATCTTGGTTGACATACTTCGGGAAAGTAGCTCTGTATGTGTATATTGCAAGGATTTTGTAATAAGAATGAAGATGACTAGTTGGCTATTCTGTTTGATGTACACTTTTGCAGCAAGACTCTTGATTCAAATAGAAAGTAGCTGTGTTAGAGGTGTTCAGTTTTCAAGTTCAAATTCCAATATTCTATAAACTTTCTTGAATTCTATTTACTGTAATATAAACTGAAATTCAACATAGCTTTGGGCTAAATTCAAACTTTTTATTTTTAGAGCATGGACCTCAATGCACTCTATCAACAAGATATTGATCTTGGTGTCAACTGGCCGACCTTTGAACCTGTCAAAACTATCAAGGATGTTGGATTCAATGAGAAGCTGACCTTTAACCCTGAGGTATATAAGCCTATATATATATATATACTTGTTTTATAAACTTTAGAAAATAAATTATTTTATTTGTTTTAGTGGACACGGCTCAAAGCAAACCCACAAAGTTTTACATAGAGCTTATAGATACAAAATGTCCATACAGTCCTTTGCAAAAAAAGTATTTTATTACTAATTTAAAATTTACACTAAAGAGAATTAAACCGAATGTAGTATTGAAGACTACAAAATTGATATTGTGGTTTGGTTTGATGATGATGCCAAGCGAATTCAAGTTTTGAAGTTTTAAAACATTCAATTTAGAAATTTATGTCAATGTTGTTACTGCATCATTCTTGAAACAGGAAATGTCACAGTCCTAAACTACAGTTGTACTTGTTAGCGGTGCATGTCGCACATCCATGTCTTAGGCCAGTAAGATCTTAAACATATAAACCGTCTCTGTTATACTGTTTAATTATTATGCAGATACTGTTACAATTTTGAGGCAAATTACCATACATACACCAATTTCATCAGTCGCTCTTTACACATAGCCTCGTAGAAGGTGTGAAGTGTTAAAATGACCCTCATTCGTAAATCAATCCGTGCTTGTGTGCAGCTCAACACTGCTTCAATTGTTTGTCTATAAAGCTCACAATGAATTCCTTTTCCCAACTTCGTGTGGGGTTTTGTACACAATCCCAAATGTGGCAGAGAATAATTGACTATATCCCACCTACTTTTTATCAAATGGAATGTCTTGCCTGACTTGATAACAGTACCCTTATCATATCGCGGTGAAAGAAGAATGGTGAGCTATGCCCCTCTTTCGCACTTTCGAGAGATAGTTTTGTGGCCACATTTTTGTATTATTATGTCCGGTTTTATCCTTCCCCATCTAAGTATGGTATTGAATAGTAATGGTGAAATGTGCATTCATTTTTTTCCAAGTGAGGTGTGTCAGCTACCTTTTAAATAAAACAAAATTTACATTATAATAACAGAAGTAAGGCCATAATGCAGTTTCAAGGTTTGGGGAATGAGATGGGACAGTCATTTCCACAACTTTTCAATGATCAATAAATAGAAAACTCTTTTTCAAAGTAGATTCCTAAAGTTCATGCTAGATAACGCCAAATACTGTACTGTATGAATATATTATCACACGAATGTAAATTTTTCAATTTTGCTAATATATCTTTCTTGATTTAGGAATACGTAGTAGATGGAGAGACAGGTGAATATCTGCCCATCGTCAGAGAAAACAAAATCCAGAAGGAAGTTAACACCGATGATGCTGAGGTATGTAGAACCATCTTATCGTCTTTCTTTTCATTCAATTCTATCGTTTATGCCTCTGAGCTAATTTATTTTTTATCGACCTCAACTGTTGCTAGTATTGTGTTAACCAAGGGTGAAAATTTCTCTGTCTTGTTTGATAATTTATATTCAAAAAGCTTTAAAGAATATTTGAGAATGTATTTGGTATTGTGAGCTATTTTGTTTTAGCAACACTTGGCCGTCAGGTATTATTCCAAAACATAGTTTCAGCAATTGCTTTCAAAATGATTTTATTGTTTGTAAGTATTGTCAAAATTCATGGTAAAGTAAATATTTGATTGTCGACTTCATATTCGATTGTAGCTGCCATTAAATATGTTTCAAAATCTCTCAAAATTACAGTCACACAAATTTTGTTAATCATACAAATATTTTCTATCTGTGTTATATTCACTTTTGTACTCTGATGGATATAGGATTAATTGAATCATATTTTTTAAATTACTAAATTTTCAAAAGTTTTATTCTAGCTTCTAATTGTTTTAATAGCAAATCAAATTATTAGTCATAACAATTTTCTTTTCTTTATTGTTTATATTTTTAGCACAAAAGGAAATGAACGCAATTAATCTCTTTGCGTCACCATTTTTAACCCAATGCCATATTCTTCTATATATGGTTAGCAATATATTTTCTGCCATTTTTAAAATATTCACTGTATACCCAAAATGTAAAATAGTACCAAAAATCACATTTAATCGCGCTACAAGATCTTCAAAAAACAGGCTGGTTATCCAGAAGTGACAACATAAGAACCCTAATCTGTGCTAGGAGTGGACATGGTAAATTGTTGCCATTTCAAGTTGAATAGCTCTGGAACAAAATACAGACCACATTACAATTAGAAAAATGCTAGCTATCCAAAACATAGTAACTAGGTAACTTTTAACTTGAACAGTGGTTCCCAAACCACTGCAACAATTTAATATGGCTTGCCAAACTTAAGTGAGATAGTTTGACACTTTATGTTTTCACTTGTTCGCATTCTAGATACAGCCAATTGGGAGTATGCACACCAAGATGGCGCACAACCTGAACATAGTATGTGTGCACGGTTAGGATTTAGGTTGTGCGACATCTTGGTGCGCATACTTCTGGAGCACCGCCAATTGTTATGTCATGTGTAACAATTCAATTATACGTACCAGTATCGGACCCTTGCAGGCGCTCCCCTTTTCCGGCCCGCAAATATCGTTCCGTTCCTAATTTTGGCCCCCCGTTCAATCAAATTTGGCTACCACGGCACTAGACGAATTTCCTTTATTGAATATTCCACCCAGACGAAATTTAATAATATTTTCCATTAAGAGCCTTGGAAGAAATTTTTAGGAGGATTTCATGTTGGTGAAATACTCAGATCATCCGATAAAAATTTCTGTGTTTAAATTTTTTTTTTATGTTTATTTAACAGACTGGACAAAACTCTGAATTCAACATTGATGAATGTTTGGATTTCCTACAAAACAGTATGGATTCTGGAACTGGCGAGGTAAATTTTATTCTACATTATTTGATCTAAAAAATTGAAATTACTTTCTTGTTTCGCCCTTTTTTTGAAGTTTTTGAGAAATGAGTGAAGATATCTTGGCCATATTGTGAGACTTCGATTGCTAGGAATTGAAGCTTCTCTAAATTATACTTAAATTCTGAAATTAAAAATATCAAACGCAATAAACTTCTATATTCATTTCGCCAACCCCATTCTGCACACATACAAACTTATCCTCAAACTTTAAACTATATAGCTCCTTCGCCTGCAGTGATTGCTGATACAAAGCATTGTTTAGAGCAGGCAAGGCCCTCAGGCCAGATCCAGTCCACCGAAGTGTTTCATTCAGTCCCCTTGTGAAATTATAACTATTGCTTTTATGGATATAAATTCCTCCTGTATCAAATACCTATTGCATTACATCAGTAATGCAAAGGAGCATGCAGGCAAATGTTATTGATGCTTTTTGTTTTTATTCATAGTTTCATATTGGGTTTTAAACGTTCGGCCCAGTAACCCAGTCTGTTATCTGTAAGTGGCCCACTTAGAAAACTAATTGCCCACCCCTGGTTTGGAGAGAAAGGCGAATAAATAAGTCCTAACAAAGCATTGGATTTATTGCAATATCCCGGGCTTGTGCAAATACAAACCCTTTCCTGTTTAAAATCAGGAAATTCCGGCCTAATCAATCAATCTCAAATTTCGTTTGTCGCTCGTTGAATTGAATTGTTAAAACATTTTTTTCACAGAGCATTCAGTCACAAGGATCAGTTGCCCAGCTAGATCAGAGTTACCAAGTTCTGGACAAAAATGTTGGATCTATAGTAAGTTGAAATTTAATATTTATGGTATGATACAGCTGGAAGGCGTGTAGTGATTAAAGGGGGTCAGAATCTAATAGTTTACTATTCTAAATACACTCTAAAACAAAAGAGTAATTTTTGAATATAATATGGATATGAAGGTTGCACATATGTACCAATATGGTAAGGCATCAGATCACTCAATAAAAGCTTGTCTGACAAGTGTTGCGGAAGTAGGTCGAGCAAGCTGGAAATAAAAGTATTCCTCTTTCAATCAAAACAGAACAGCAGAATTTCGGATGAAATATAGGGTTCCATAAGAAGCAGATAAAATATACAAACAAATGTATTTATAAACTTTTGTTAGATCATAGTTTAACTTCTTCAGATAGAACAAGATATAAGGAATGGCAAAGAATAGGATGAGACAGACCAAAGCATCAAATCCCCACATTTTTTACATTTCATTAGAGTAACTTGACCCAAAAATTATTAGGATCTTTATCTTCATAGTTATATTTTGTTTTGTCTTAAGAAATTGGACTATCATCCAAAAAAGCCAAAAAATATACCAGTATTTCATAGAAAGGCGATCTTTTAGTTTTATATACCTGAATACATTAAAAACAATTTCATAGAATTTTATTTTTAAACTTACAGAATGCCGAACTGTGGGATGACATTGCTACTCTGTCTGAGGCATACCTTGCTTTAGATTCGGGAGATTTCACAGAAGATATGTCACCTAATGGATCGGTGGATTCAGACAACAGTCAGCAATACCAACAGTTAAACTCATACCAGAAGTAAGTACCAGTTTAGAAGAGAATTTTTATATTTATCCTGAGGGAGATGAAAGTCTATTAGATGGATTAATCATGTTGCGAACTACAGCCTTTGGTTACCAGTCCATGTTGGGTGTGGGACCAGTTATTTATCCCAGATGCATGGACTTAATGATAGAGGGAGCCACAACCAATCAGCAGTTACATGAACCACCCTACGATGAGGAGTCCAACAATCCTCTCGTTTTATATTTCAATATAGAATCAACGGACCTCTGTAGATAACTAGCCACTAGGGCTGGGCATTTCGAATCGAATATTCGAATCGAATAGTAAATTATTCGAATCGGTTTAGAGCAAATTTTCGAATCGCCGCCATCTTGTTTTACTCTTTCCGCCAATGGTCGAGGTAAATTTCTCAATTATTTTTTCATTGAAGCCATATTTTTTCAACACAATTCTGACTTATGACTCTTTTCTGTATTGAGGTATTGATGAAAACGTGTTCTTTTTATTGTCAGTGATGTATTCTATGTTTTCAGTAATTTATGTGTCTGGAGAACCTAAAATACTAAGAAATTTACATACAATTTCATACCTTCCAAGTATTCGAGATTCGATTCGATTCGAAAAAATTATTCGATTCGATTCTGAAATCATCAGGTATTCGAAAATGCCCAGCCCTACTAGCCACTGAATTATTTTATCTCGCTCTGTACAAAATCCCAAACTAGCATTAGCTACTATTTTTTATGGGTTAGTATCTTTCCAGTTTGACATTGTATATCCGATTTTATCATACCTTGGGTGAAAGGGTGAACATGGGGTTTTATGGTTTTGTTTAGAATCTAAACTTTAGATTATAATTAAACAAATTCTTTACTCTCTTAGTGAGATGTATGCATCCCCGGTGCAGGTTCAAGTCTCAGAACAGAAGCCAATTGCAAAAGAACAGCAATGTGAGTAAAGGACAATTTCAATGGATAAATTTTTGCGATGGTCAAGAAAATAAAGTCCCATGTATTCAAACTTATCACATGCTACCAATTGTTCTTGAAATTCGACAAAAACACATCATTCAGTGCCAGGACCCCTATTATTAGAATTTTCTGGCATGGCTAGAGATTTTGGTTGCTAATCCTAAGCTAGAAATATTCACGATTTTCCAAAAAAGTCTTTGTTTTTCAACTTATACTTTTTAATTAGTCGTCTGATTGAAATATTGAGCAGAAAGGAATAATGACCATTCTATTTCAATCTAATCCATATCAAATTTACAATATTGTCTTACTGATGCCCTACTTTTTTACCAGTCTACAAAGGAACATACCACAACTACCCTACTCCACCATACGTTGACCAGAGTGAGTCACCACCGACGTTCGCTCATCCAACGAGCGTAACCTTTCCGGCAGAAAATCCAGAAAAACCTTTTGGACCTGCAGATGTCGAGGAAGCAAAATTGGCAGAAATGCTGATAACGCAACAAAACGATCTTCTCGTTCAGTTGGATAACGTTGCGCAAATCAACCTTGGCGCTGGTGGCACGTCTCCTCTCTCTGCAGAGCAGCCAGCAGCACCAGGCAGTTGGTTTTTTGGTGGAGCTGAACCAGAAAACAACTTTACTCAAGTACTAACTGAGCTGGATATGATGAACAACATTCCCAACCAGGTGAATTTTATTTTTCGAAAACTTTGCTCAAATTCTTGTTTATATTAAGACTTCAAAGTCAACAGAGTTAATTCTGACGCTTCACCCATTAGGCTTATTGCTACTAGTAAGAAGCAAACGATATAGTTTAGCTAATGTTCCAAATGTCTATACCAGTGTTTTTCAAACAGTGGGGCGTAGAAAATTTGTGGAGTGGCGTAAAGTTACGTTAATTAAAAATGAAAATATATGTTTGATTTGACCTTGCACGCCTTATTATGGATATTTACATTTCTTTATTGGGTCTGCGACCCCTTGGGGGTCTTTGATGACTTCACAGGGGTCTGGTCCGCAAAGATATGAAAAGAGTCTGATCGATCTTCATTGATTGATTTTATTAATCAAAAGACTGTTGCATCTTCTTGGTTGAGCGCTGCCGACCAATATTCATTGCTGATAGATCAAGCAATTAAAAATAATATTGCATTTTGCAACGACTAACATTTGGGAGGCAGCATTTTTAGCTCTTACCAATATGATGATCTAATACAGGTCTAGAATCGCCATAGAGTCGGATCTACGGGTTTGCTCATCACAAATTGCCCAGAAAATTGATAAATTGTAAAGCAACCTCATTCATCACATTAATGTCGTTTGTGTTGAAAATTAAACATTATCCGGAGCTCCCGAAGTTTGCGAACCAAGATGGCGGACATCGGAATGTAATATGTGTACTAGGTTAGGGTTAGGCCATAATTTTAAGTATAAATACTACGGGAGGCTCTTGGATAGTCTTCGAACTGATAATAGGACTAAAATAGGGTAAATTGGAAATCGCCTAACCCTAACCTGTTACCCATGTGACGTTCCGATGTCCGCCATCTTGGTTCGCATACTTCGGGAGCACTCATTATCCTTTCCCGTTGGTTAGGCACAGACATTAATACGTCGTAGGATGGAGGTACGTCAAAACTAAGATTTACTATCAGGGGTTCGCTGCCCAAAAAAGTTTGACAAACCCTGGTTTGAGATTGCAGAGAGCTGTTGTGCTTGTTGGTATTTTTGTCTATCATATCACTTTCACCTTACTATCACTTACTTGTAGCTTATTGTTAGCTAGTTATTTTTAAGGTGGGGCTTTCATATTCTAAAAAGGCTTAAAATGTTTGAGAATCACTGGTCACTCTTCGTGAGAGCAATCAATCTTTACAGATAATCAAGACATTGGCTAAGCATAAATATCCTGCCAGTTATGAATATATTACTATATATAAATATTGTTGGTATTTGGCAATGCTGCAAGAGTTTTCATTTAACTTTCAAAATACTTTAACACTTTATCAAAACTTTAACTCACATTTAATTTTGTATTTCTGGGTAAACTGCCAAAAGTTTGTTGTTTTCCTCACTAATATTTCTATAAATAGTCATTTATACTGTGTGTTTCTAATTTGCATATATTTTTCAAAGTAATTAATTATGAACCAATGTTTTGCAAGGATTTCTTTTTTGATTGGAGCAAGTTTTGGCACTCAAGTGTTTAGTCTAAATTTAGAATTCTGTTATTTGTAATTAACAATTTTTTCACATTAATCAAGAATTAGATATAGAATGTTATAGGATAATTAATCTAAATAGCCTGGTCATCCTTTTTTCGAAAGAAGCAAGTTTGTTGTTTATTTGTTTTTGTCTAAATTTAGCTTTTTAATAATTGAAACTTAACTGAAATTTTTGTCACTTGCATATATCATAAGAAATTTTAAATTAAATTAATAAATTAGTTGCAAGGTACTTTTTTGATGGCAGAGAAAAGCTTTTATCAAACACCGATGCCAACTTAGTTAATTCCAATGGTTCAACCACAAGGACATTGTGTCAATACCATTTATCCACAAAATTAATCTTCCATTTCAAGACTTGCATGTTTATTAATATTTGCGCATATATGTTCTCCTAAGATCATTATCATCATTAGCTGTTCATGCCACGGCCTCCACATTTAATGCCTTGTACACTCCACATTTAATGCCTTCTTGAGATAAATTTTTCCCTTTTTTGCAATTTAACCAATTCAATATTATTTTTTCTAAATTTAGGCTGGTGCGTATCTAAATCCACCTAACGCTCCTTATGTTCCTCCACCAATCAACAACCTTGACGTTGTAGGGCAGGGAAGAGTAAGCAGGGAATCAGAATCAATGGACAGCGGTAAGTCATGATCTAAACCAGGGGTGTGCAAACTGCGGCCCGCGGGCCAAATGCGGCCCGCAAGAAGAAGTTGTGCGGCCCGCTGAGAAATAACAATTTCGAATGGTGTACCTGCAAAACGAGTATTTATTCTTTTTTGTCGCATAGCCCATACCAGTCATATTAGCACAACAAGCTAGCAAAATTCTGTTGCAAAATACACGATTTATATTACAAAAACTTGTTTCTCACTGCATTCGTTTGAAGTCGGTGTGACAAAAAATTTAAAAGCAGTTTCTTCAGAAGTTTATGCGTTTTAAATCTAGTATTTGTGCAAGAACCCCTAATAATGCCGTAAGATCAATAGCAAATATAGGCAATTTTTGCGCTTGTAACTACCAGAAAGCCTAAATTAAATAAAGGTGCGGCCCGCGGCTTCACCCAGTTACTTGTATTTGGCCCGCCAATAAAAAGGTTGCACACCACTGATCTAAACCATTCTTAGCTAAATTTAAATATTACCCCTGTATTATTATTTAGACTGTTTTTTTAGGCATAAGAACTCCAGTTGTTTTATAATTATAGTTAAAAATGCTAATGAAAGACGATCATAGTTGTTCAATTAATTTATTAAATTGCCAACTTTTGGTGCTTTTTACAACCATGCAAATTTTACTTTTATTGTCATGTTCGGAATTGACTTCACCGAAACAAACAGTATATATATATGCTGCTGATGTTTGTGATAAAATGTATGTATGTTTATAGCCTAAAAATGTAACAGTAACTGCATGAGAGACAGGATACATGTTCAAGACCTTACTGGCCTAACACAGTTGTTCGACATGTATCCCTAACAAGTATAACTGCAGTTTAGGATCGCTGCGTTATAGTAGGACAACAGACATGAAATATACAAATGAAACTGTAGTACAATACACAAGACAAAGACGTGTGGCACAACGACTATATGTACAATAGGCAGTTCATGGCACATATAAATATACAAATAAGGCTATTTGCCAATAGTTTATCGTGAAAGTACATCCTTTTTTGCCTCAAAACTGTGAAACAAAATGACACGAAAAGGTTAATTAAAAGCTCCCTAATTTATCTGAACTGGAGATAACATAACTTATCAATAATTAATGAATTTCAGGTTTCGGAGACGGAATGGGAGTGACTCAGCATATGGATATAGAAATGGCTGATCAAGGTAAAAGAGAAATATAAAAAAAAACATAATACCACCAATTATCAGTGGTTCCATTACATTAGAACCCACGTACATTTGAACCCATTACATTTGAACCCACGACAATTACACCTATGGAAATTTATTTTTTACGGATATTCAAACCCATACTAACCCTAACCCATGGATGTTAGCACCCTCATGTAGATTGAACCCGCGGATATACGGGTTCAAATGTACGATCACCATTATCAGTATATCTTCATATCTAAATCAGTTGTTCTCAAATGGTGGGATGCGGCCCACAAAGGGACGTAGACAATTAGGGGCTCCCGAAGTATGCGAACCAAGATGGCGGACATCGGAATGTAATATGTGTACTAGGTTAGGGTTAGGCCATAATTTTAGGTATGAATACTACGGGAGGCTCTTGGCTAGTCTTCGAACTGATAATAGGACCAAAATGAAGAAAATTGGAAAAAAATTATCGCCTAACCCTAACCTGTTACCCATGTTACGTTCCGATGTCCGCCATCTTGGTTCGCATACTTCGGGAGCACCGACAATTATTTGAGGGGGGTGTGGATCTAATTAAATTTAAAAATATTAGATTTGATCCTGCCTGTCTCATTTTGAATATTTATTTCATTATTTATGTTCTACTGTTACTCCATATATTTTCATCGTGTTTTTGAATAAAACATACTTTCACCTTATTATCAGTTATTTGTAGCTTATTATTAGCGAGTTGTTTTTAGGCTGGGGTACGAGACTTGACAAATTCTAAAAATGGACTTATTAAATCTGAGTACCACTAATCAAGATCTTATTCTAATACTATTATTATATATTTCAATTGAAAATAGAAACAAAAATTACCATGATTTTACTGTATTTGATTTGTTGTGCACATTTTTCAATATCAATAATTAAAAAATTTTGAACTGATAATTTATGTATGAGTTTTCAAAATATTTGAAAAATTGGGTTTTCTGCTCTAAACACTGATATCAACACCCCCAATTGCCAATTTACTTATTACCGTAGGTTAAATTTCCAATTTTAATTTCACTTGTTAAACGACTGGTGGACATTTTCAATAATAAAATTCTGATGTGAGTTTTTGTGAAATTTTATAAAAACTGCACAATTCCAGTCTGTACTCTTTCTTTCATTACAGGTTTATAATTCTCTTCTAATTCAAATACTTCATTTTCAGATGTCATGATAACTGATCCAAGTGTGCTGATATCTGTGGAAGATAACTATATTGAGAACCAGACTGACGAACAGTAAGTTTATAGAACTTAATTTCTTATCAACCCTTCATCAAACAGACTAATTAATCAATCAATGGAAAATAGCATTGCTTAACTTACAAACAGAAACGATCAAATTAAAATCAGGCTTATAAAATTAGATGGAGGTTTAAAATTTGATTTACAGATTATGTTTTGATAATTTGGAATATTTTATTAATTAAAATTGCTTTCAGATTTGAGAGGAAATATAGTCAACGTGAATCTCGTGATTTGAAGAAAGCTCGTGAATTGAACATCAATTTGACAATGGATCAGATCATCAATTCACCGGTGGAAGAATACAATGAACTACTTTCTCGTACAAACTATAACGCTGCTCAACAGTCGCTCATTAGAGACATCAGGAGACGTGGAAAGAATAAGGTAAACATGGCGAGAAATTATTCTGCCTTGACCAGGATGGAATAAATGTATTCAGCCCAACCACCAAACCAGAAAGGTTCTAACTGTTGAAGCTTAGCTAAATAATTACGCTTAAAGCCTTACATTTTGAATCAGGGGCGGGCAATTACTTTCCTAACTTACAGATGATAGACTTGGTTTCTGGACCGGAGGTTCAAAGTTCAATATGAAACTATTAATGAAAATAGTTTATTTACAAATAAATGGCGTCTATAACAATCGCCTGCCTGCTCGTTTCACTGATGTAAAACAGTCGTACCTAAAGTCCTAATTTCTGCAAACACAAGTGGGTCAGATAAGGCCCGCGGGACGTAATTTGCTTACTCCTATTTTAAATGAATTTGCTCAAAGCACAGAAAAACTCACTCATTCAAAGTAAAGGAGACGAATCTCTCAACAAAAATATGGGCGACAACTCAGATGCCAAGTGCTCTGTAGTATTGTGGGGGTGTATTGCCCACAAGTAAATGCAGAGTCTTGTTGAGAGCAAATACCCTATACAGATTCACAGCTTGAATGAAAAACAAAAGCCCCTGCTCAAAAATCAGCGCTCCAGAAGTTGTGTACCAATATGGAAGAAACTAACTTTGTTCGCCTATTTTACATTAGGTTGTGTAAAGGGACTGAAATTTATGGGGGTATATTCACTTGGCTAACACAGACAGTTCCGCCCTTGTTTAAGAACTAAAATAAGAAAAATCTGAATAAAATTATGACCTGACCCCAACCGGGTACACATACTATGGGAGTACCCAAAAATCTAATATGTTTTTATCTTTTCAGGTCGCTGCTCAAAATTGTCGCAAGCGTAAGATAGAAACAATCTCATCCATGGAGATTGACATCGACAGTTTGTCCATGAAACGACAAGAACTGGTGAACAAACAAAAAAGCATTGAAGAGATGAAGAAGAAAGTTCAAGCCAAGTACAATCAGCTTTATCAACAGGTAATCATTTTTAGATTTTGTTGTTTTGATTGTGGGCCTGTGCAAAGGGTTGTTATTCGCTTCAGCAAGTTGAGGGAGCCATAAGTCATTTTGTCGGTAACCATGGAAACCGAGCTGTTGACTTTTACAACTAGAGAAAGACATTTGACTGAATTGAACGAAATTTATCTTTGTGTCAGGAAATTGTGTCGCAAATATTGTTTGATGTGGACCTGTGCAAAAAGCCACCGATATTTGTGAAGCCACTATTTTTTATAGAAGTAGTCTCATAATGCAGTGTGTTTTCTTAATTACACTCACTGATAAGTAATCATAAACTTTGATGCAAAATCCATGCACATCATTGAACGCTAAATATTGTAGTGTGTTTTATTATTTCCTATTTCTGGTATATTTTGGAACACAGACATGGTAATACTGCGATCTTCATATATATATGTTGGGAAGAAGTCCTTAAGCCCCTAGTCCAGGCGGTGTGCAACCAGCGGCTCATGTGCCACAACTATGCATTCCAAGGCTTTTATTTAGTGTGGCCCTTGTCAACATTCAGATTTTTCTCCATCAAATATAAAATCCTAATTTCATGTTTAAAAACGCGCTCACATGGGTAGAAATACATAATGTTGTTTTACTCTTGTCACTGTGTTAAATTTTTTTTATTTGTTGTGCAAATAAAAAAAACTATAAAATTTTATGCGGCTCAGCTCGATGTCTGAAGTTGAATTTTTTTGTTTGTTGTGCATATAGAAAAAAACTATAAAATGTTATGCGGCTCAGCTCGATGTCTGAAGTTGGTTATATGGCCCACCGACAAAAAATGTTGCACATTCCTGGGGTAGAGGAGTGGCCGGTGCATTCATTACTGCAATGTGATATAGCAAGTTAATAACGTTTAGAACAGGGATGTGCAACAGGCGGCCCGTGGGCCACGACTCGGCCCACCAAGCCACTCAGTGTGGTTCTTGTCCACACTCAGATTCTCCATCAAACATAAAATCTTAATCCAACAGTTTATGTTAAAAAAGGCGCATGGGTAGAAATATGTAATGCTTTTTACTCTTGTTGCTGCGTCAAATCTTGCATTGTGATAATTTTTGTATTTCATCGTGCACATAGAGAAACTAAAAAATTTGTGTGGGTCAGCTAGATATCTGAAGTTGGTTATACAGCCCACCGACACCCCTGCTCTAGTAATTTTGAGTCTTTGATAAATTTTATTTCAAGTAAATTTTTCGAGCCTCCTCAACTCTGACACCTATGCTAAAGTTTCGTCATCTTTTTACAGATATTCAACTCTCTTCGTGATGAGTCTGGACGCCCATACGATCAGGGTCGTTATTCACTTCAACAAGTCGAAGGAGCCATAATTCTTGTTCCTGGTAACCATGGAAACCGAGATGATAAAATGGATTCCAACCGCACCGTCGCTTTCTTTGACCTTTCCAAGGTCAAACTTGAGAAAGACATCTAACTGAATTGAACAAAAATTTAGTTTTGTGTCGCGATATTCGCAAATGCTGTAAATAGCCGTGTTGTGGGGGTTAAAACAAGTTGTTAGCGCCCCAAGTGGTCGCATGAGGGAGGGAATTAAAAATAATGTCATCAACAAAAGATGGCGTCGATGGGGATTTTTACTTTTTTTAGTTACAAAATTTTTTAATGTAAATTCTGCACTTGTCACCAATTTAATACTATTAATTATTAGTTGATCATGTCAAAAATCATTTTTGTTTAACGAATGAGTCCCAACCTGTGCTTTGATTTGCTTTTTACTTTGCCATTGCAAAAAAGGATGAATTAATGCATAACTGATCAAAAGAGCAATATATGAATAGGGTTGGCTAGAAAAAGTTTCTATTAAATTTGGAATTATTCAAAATCATGTATCTCAATGGAGATGTCTGAAATTTGTCATTTTGGAGATGAAATCCGGAATTTCCGATGTAAAATTTGAAATATATATTACAAGATAAATCTATTTTGATTATTTTAAACTAATTCAGAAATTCAAATTATCCTAATAGTGACACCCCTATTCATAAGCTTTTACTTTTTCATCATTTCATCAAACACCCAAACATATCAGTAACTTAATTTGTTCAAAAATCTCAAATGAGTTTGTGTACTTTGTAATGATAAGTTTCAAAAATAACCAATTTTTATGTTTTAAAACGTTGACTAAAATTGATTTTTGACTGATTTATATTCTCTTGTGTGATAATTTTGTAATATGTAGTGTGTCAATGTTGAGTGAGCATATTCAATAGTAATACAGATTGTTAATGTTGAGTATCTGTAACTTGAAAAAAAAATTTCCGAGTCGTTTGAAGAATTGACCCTCGTCTCCAGGTTAATATGGCTGCTGAAAGGCAAATTCGATTCTAGTTCCCGGCTAGGAAATTTAAAATTTTGAATCGAAAAGACCTAAATTTGTAAGTCTTTTTGTGGGAAAACCAGAAATGTGATTCTCAATTAGGTAATTTGAAAACAAAGTGGCTTTTAAATTCAAAACACATCGACTTTGATAGCTGCATAGTCATGTTTATTGATTGGTTATCACTGGTTTAACGGCCATATTCCAAATTCAGCTTAGCAAATTCTTTACAAGAAACATGGATAAAGGTTATGATGATAATAAGTTTATTTCGACTCCAATTTTTAGTTCTGTTCAAGTTATTTTATCGATGGATTTTTTTGGATTTATTGTTTTTGTATGGGTGAGCTTTACGCTATGGTACTTTATAAGTAGGAATTGTAGTTTACTAATCTTAGTTTTATAAACTCTCAAAATGGAATGGCCTTTTTCAAAAGTTCAAAATAAATAAAGTAAATTTGTACAGTTGCAAAAGGAAATTTTAACAGAAATTTTGGGAATCAACAATTCAAAATAGCAATATCTTCACAAACCTCTTGCTCCATCTATTGAGACATAAATCACTAGTAGCGACATAGGTGTAGGTGATTCAATAAATTTGGTTGGTCCTATTAATGGAAAGAATTTTCCGCATTTCACAAATCGAATGCAAATTCCAATATAATAGATAAAACTATGTTTTAATCGTAACCCACAATAAACTACCAAATTTTATCTTCCTCAAAGTGATTTTCTCTGACATACATAGTCAGTTAGCCAATACTTTTCAATGTATTTAGAATACATTTTAGTACAGCATTCCCGTTAATCTATATGTGATCAGTGGCTAATGACATTTCAGTCCCTGTTTGTAACTTTTCTTAGAAATTTCCAGAGTGTATACATAAGTATAAGTACATAACTGTGCTGTGAGCAAATTCCTTTAAAAATGTTGTATTCTTGGCTGAATCGCCTCTTTTCTTTTCGTGATAACTTTTTAGATCGTAACGCTATATGTTTCAAATTTTTCATAAAACCATATAATTTAGAATAAGTTTCAATTTAACATGGTGTACCGTATGTTCCATCTGTTTGTTCATGGTTCAATACATTTTCATGCGTAATTTTAATAAAACATTCACCTGTTCATAGCACCAATAATAATTATTGTTAATTTGTAGGATGTATAAGACATAAGCCACTGGCTTCAAATGAGCAGGATTGGAAAAACTTGAGTCAAATTTCAATTCGGATTACTCCAGTCAATTGATTCACCAAAGTGGCTTTACTTGTACTTAGGTGGTTCCCCTTTTTGTGGCGGGTATTTTGTATGACCTTTGACCCAAGAATTCGAAATGGTTTTACATTTTGAACGATCTCTGAATTGAGAACTTGGAATGGTTTGTACTCAAGTGATGAGTAGCTGAAGAATCATGTGAATATTTCTAAAGCAAAACTATAGAGTCGAGATGACCTTAATTCGTGGCATGGGATATTTGACCAATTAGTTTTTGAATGCAAATCACCAATCATAATTGTTCACCTTTGAACCGGTGGCTTTGTCCAAAGTAATTTCTGCACTAACTCCCATAGTTTGTAGTATATTAGACCAATATATAAGCATTTATAGGGGAAGTTCAGCCTGATTTAGTTCCTTTGACTGATAAACCCATTAATTTCTTGTAGCTAATAAATCTGTATTATATTGTATCGCCTCCTCGGTTATGTTTTGTGTGAGCCTTGATAACTGTGGGGTAAGGAAAATTTACTCTGGATATTTCATGGAGAGTCGATTTCGTTGTTTAGTTCCGTAGCAATGACCAATCAGCAAAAAGTCAACGATGACGTAACAATTGTATTGCAATAAAAATAATGGTTTTGAGCATGTAAATCAGTTTGTAAGATCAACTCTCCAAAGAACGCGCAAAATAAGCATCTAAATTTTGCTGCGGTAAAGTAAAAAAAATATTTTGGGTCAAGGGTCTGACTGCGACTTCAGGTTAAAAATTTTGGCTAGACACTGTACTGAAAAAATTCTGACCGGGACCAGCTCCGAACTCCGATAAAATCAAAATTTGATACGAAAAACTTTTTGTGTATGCGAGCATGCTTGTGCCACGGGTTTTTTCGCAAAATGAATAGGAAGTTTTAATCGTGAAATGTTTCAATATATTTTCTTAAACAATAACGTAGGAGTATCTTAATTCAATAACAATCGTTAAAAATTGTCAGTCGACGATCAAGGGAGAGCATTATCAAGCTTCGCCATGGGCGCCGTTTTACGTAGATACACTACTGTATGCAAGTCTTCTTTTATAGACTGTTAAAAACGCCTACTAAACTTAATGCTTTCCGTAGCAATTCATGAATTTTTCTAACCAACGAAAGTTCGAGATCCCACCTTCCAGGTAATTAGAATTTGGACCCCAACTACAATGAAAACATGCCAAACCACAACGCCACAATCCCGGTATCCCAATGGAATCCAACAACTAACTTACGGATCTTTTGTACCCCCGCCAAGGCTGGTCAGTTAGGGTTTGGCCTAGGGCAGGGATGGCGAACCACTGACCCGCGGGTCACAAAGTGACCCACCGCGTTTAATTCGTGACCCGCCAAGGCACGAATAAAATAAAATAAATGCTAACATATCAGTGATAAAAATTAATAAAACTGGCCTTAAGTTAATCTAACAATAAATTTTATAATGTACCGTCAGTTGAGCAGTCAGGGCCGCGATCGCTCATATTCAAATTGGTAATTATTCGGGCCGGTACGGTAATTTTCAAAATCTCTAATCCTGGAGCCATGTCTGCACCGATGTGTACCGTTATTCAGCTATTGACTCTGATATCGTTTATGACATAACAATGCAGTCAATATGTTCAATTGTCGCTACGTCTGCTCTCTTTCCGTAGTGCATCTACTCTACAGACTGTTTTAGGGGTTATGCGAGAACTAGATGCTACTTTGTATCTTATTAGTTACTTGCATACGATGCCGTTAAGAAAACAAAATCTTTCAGACTTGAAATAAAAACCTAGTAATTTGAAACAACAATGGGACAGTGTAAAAGTGCCTTAATGTGGTTGAAAGCTGATCAAAAAATATAACACTCAGAGTGGAAATCCTTCCAAACTTTTTGGAACCGTAAAATAATTTGCCGCATTATTCTAAACGTTTTTGGTAATTCATGTGCGTGTTTTCGTACTCTAATTTCATAAAATTGAGTGCCATAAAAAGTTCCTGATAGAAGTGCTGCATAAGTAAAGCCCAAACTACGCCAACATCAACAGAAGCTTATAAGATTTGTTTCTTATAGATACAAACATTGATCAAATATCTGTGACCCACTCTCTTCTGTTCCGCAATAAAAATATAATTTTTGACCCATTCATTGAAGAAGGTTCGCCATCCCTGCCTAGGGTTACGAATGCAGATTGCGCTGCAAATTCAAATTGTTAAATCATTCCTAAACCCGACTAGATAATTACTAATTTGTTATTTAAAAACGTAGCGGGGTGTTTTTCTCAAATCTCACAAAGTTTTTCTATCTGCAGAACGAATTATGCAAAAGTTTCTTTTTTTAACAGTTCCGTGGGACACTTGAAATTTCGAGTTCTTCCATAGTTTGTTAACATCAGCTTTGACAGACAACCCTACTGACTGGTTAAATGTTTCTCAGTCAGCTGACAAGATAAGAAGAGAATGCGGCTATCGCTTAGCCGTACAGTAATAAATGCACTGTTTAATACAGCGACAATAGCAAGAAAACATTTTTTACCAATGTGAGCACCGTTTTAAAGTTAAACTGTCGGCTTAGGATTTTAGGCTTGACGGGGAGAAACCTGAGTGTTGACGAGGGCCACACTAAATGGCGTGACGAGCCAGGTTCTGGCCCGCGGGCTGCATATTGCACACTCCCTGTTTGTTTGGTCTGTCTCACCGATTGACGAATCACGCTGAGCTTGGGACCACGTTTGTCATCTGATTTGTGGCTATAATTACTCTGCGTGAGTACGCATATTCTAGTCTAGCGAAAATAATTATGTGCATAAGATTGCTTTAATTCTTGCCGTCATAGGGTGGTTTACGTTACAACAGGTCGGCACGGCTTCCTCCGCCATCACGTTCACGTATCTGTAACTATCAACTGGTTATTACGAACATGATATAAACTGGTAACCGGACGAGATGACACTGGTCGCCACATGATTGAGACGTTTTATCGAGTTTCCTCTCCCCACGAGGAATTCGAAAAATATTTTTAAATCTTTCGCTCTTGCCTAGCTCATAGGTTCTCTTCCATACGGAGACTCAGGGCTCCAAGAGAGAAGCCTAGGGGCTCTGCAAGCTATTCGATTACTTATCAAAACACTGACTTGGCTAATTTTGTAAGTGTATAAAGAAGCAATAACGTCATTAATAAAATTTGACAACGGTAGCGCCGAAATGTGGTAACAAGGCGATAATTAAATATGACATTATCTGTGTGCAGGAGCGCAGCCACGATTCAGGGTTCAAAGTTGGAATTGGAAATTCACGCGCCACAATCTTCACGATTAGACCACTCGTTAATAAATATACTTTCTCATCGGATAACGAGTTTTCTGTTGGGTAAAATATGCAATCCATGGCCGATGCGAGCATTTAAAATGTCTTGTCATAATAATTTAATTCTGTTCATCGCTTCTCGTCTTTGAGTCGAAATTACTAAAATGAAAGATTACTATTCTAAAATAACATAAAACACTTGCTAAACTGCCAACTATAAATAGATTGGAAACAAAGTCAAATAAACGATATATATCATGCCTATCACTTGTATATCATGACTGATTGTGTGACAAATTACAGCGATTTATCGAATTCGACAAATTTGAGCCGCTCTTGCAACACTTACTCCGCTCTATCGCAGGTCTGTCCCTGATTCTTTTTAACGTTTGAAATTTTCGGAAAAAATACGAACGATTGAAATTCATTTTATTGCAATAAAATATGAATTGGGATACTTTACATTAATTATCTTATATATCGTCACATACTGAGAAAAAGTCGAATGCGGCTGCTTCGGTATTTTCAGTATGGGTAAAAGTTACATCGCGCGCACAATTGACTTTGTTTTGATTTCAACGACTACGGTATAATTTTCAAAGAAAACCTGACATAACATCAAATTTTGTGTTTTACAATGTCTAAAATATGTTTTTAATCTGTCACGAGTCTGCCAAAACAAAAGTTATGGTGTTATCTTCCGTTTTAGGTTTTAGTTTCAGTAATTTATAATGCCGCTTTTCAATCAAGAAATTTGGATTGCAGATCACCTCTTTATTAATTATTTTAGCATCCCGTCGCTGATGACTATAATATATATTATTTGTTTTTCACACTGAACTTACAATTCCGTACGAGAACAAAAAAGTTTTTATCGTCGTCCTTGTAGAACAATACCTGCATATGCCAAGGAACTTTTGTGATTTAGGGAGAATAAACACCGACGTAAAGGTGTTTACGGTCTAAAAAACAATCGGCGATTTTAAAATATACAATCGCACAAGTTATTAGCAATGGTTTCTACCAAAAATATCAAAAGAGAAGGAGTTCGACCCCGAATTTATTGATATGTTTGTCAAGTGATAAAGCCTTAATACAGTCATAATATATATAATTTATCTGTGAAATTCAGATTTACTTATGGTTTGTATTAACCCTATTAAAAAAGATTTAACATTCAAATTAAGTAAAGTAATTTTAACTTACTCAGGAATATTAATCGGTAAGTAACACTGTGTTTTTTTTTATTGGTTTTTAAAAATGTTTGTGGGGCTGTGAATAATAGTCAACCTCTACAAAGGCTCTGTAGTTTGAGAATCCCTGAGCCTAAGCTGATAGGATAGGATTTACATTTTTATCCCGGGGGAGAGGAAAGCCGATAAGACGGCTTATCCATATGGCGAACCACGGCCTCTCGTCCGGTTACCATTCCAAGTCGGGTATGGGATTAGTTATATTGTTTTTTTTTTCGAAAGCATGGACTTGGTGGTGGAGGAAGCCGTAACCGACCAGCGGTTACGTGAACCACCCAACGACGGCGAGGAGTCCGGCAATCTTCTCGCACATAACCATCCCTGCATGGGATTCGAACCTGCGAACCCACACAGAGTAATTAGAGGTGCGGTGGCGAGCGTAATCCTAACGCTTAGCCCGTTGAGCCACACCGCCGCGCCTATTAATCTCTTGAGTTTCGATTCAATGAACTAATGAGCAATAATTATATGTAATGGGATTGTTAGTGTCTAAGAAAGAAGAAGAGATTTTTCACCATAAATATATATACGATATTGAATATAAAATCCGCAATTCGGATCATATCATTTTTGTTGGGATCAGTTTGTAAACAAATGAAGGTCATCGAGGCTCCTCATTCGCAACGTTAATTCTTTTTAAGCATTTATGATAGGTCACAGTAAGAGTATACTACCCGAAAGTATGAGGCAATTTTAATATAAGAAAAAAATGAGTCGGCAATAATTCAGAGAAGCTTTATGTTGTCAAGGTCATGTGAATGTTATCTTTAGATGTCTGTCAGTAGTTTATTTTTGCACATACTAAGAATACGGAAGTTTACAAACAGTAGGATAAAATATAAATAATGTATTTCAGCGTGAAGGGAGACGATAAACCAGTCATGGTTATCGAGCAGCGTCATCTAAATGGAAAGGAAGAACTGATGGGCACTGTGTTAAGGGCAAGCTCGCCTTGTACTTGTGCGGATTCAGCAATTGTCGGGCCAATGTTTTTTTTTCACGAATCCGTGTCTTGTGGACTTTACCCTGATGAATTTCCAGCGAAACTTCACAGCTCATAGCTCACAAACGAAAAGAAAACACCCCCGCCAAAGCTCAAAATAAGAAAATTAGTACTTATCCTGTTAGGATTTGGGCCAGGGTTACGAATGCAGATAACCCTGGGAATTCGAATTTTGCAACTGTATAATTACTGATTGTTTTTAAAAACGTGGCCAATAGATTCTCTTCATGAATCAAACGAAAAGTCTATCAGTATGTCATAAAAATCAGAATCAGGCTGACGAAACGATTCAATTTATGCTACGACGTTCTTGTTTGTTTGTGGGTAAACACAAAACTATTCAGGATGTTTGAGTATATTTATGGATATAACATAGACATCATAGATTGCAATACTTAGCAGCATGCAGTACAAGCAGAGAGAGAGCGTAAGCAAGCAAAGTCAACGGTGACAAGTATAGCACTAATAATGATGTCGTGAATATCATCTTACAGTTCTCAATTTTGATTACATTACAAGCATGAGAGCGATGCTCAAATAAATAGACACGAAAACCAAAGAGAAGCAGTACTCTACCTTGGAGGGTAAGAGTTGAGTTAGGATATGTGTAGGTTTCCTTCTATTAAATTCTCTTTTCTGTATTTTTGAAAGGTATGTTATTTTTTGCACCAAACCGTTTTTCTGTTTATGCACTAATCTAAAAGTTGTAGGCACTGAAATATATTTAGCGCACTGTGAAATCTATTTTTGGAAATACGGGACCCCAATAATTTCGAAGATTTTATACGAATCTTCGGTGAAAATAGTTGAGTAGCTTTTGTGTAAAGAAGCCGAGATGTCTGCATGCATATTGAAGTTTTTGGATCGGTAGTTGTTGCCAGATTTAAGTTAATTTTATGAATGACCCTCATTGGCAAATGATCAACATTACAAATTCTCAAATGTAAACTTTTTAAATTCGAACCAGTTTTGTTACACAGCAAAGGGCAACGCCACTAGTTTTATGTTTGTTGCTTACTTTTTAGCGTTGTCTATTTACCCAAAAAAATTGAAGCTAATCACTCATTATTAGGATTCGCATTCGGGCGCAGGCACCTTTGTATAACTTCTAATTGTTTTTATATTCTTTACCACTTTCGCTCATCAAAATTATTCACAATTTTACAAGTAAGCTTTGCCCGTGAATTTTATTTTCTCGTCTTCATGTACGCTGTTCATTATTGCATACCCGATATAGACTGGTAACCACGCGAGTTACCGGTTCGTCACACATTCATTCATAATCACAGTGGAGTCCAGCAATCCTCTCGCACATAATTATCCCCTCGGGATTCGAACCTGCAACAGAGGTGCGGTGGCGAGCACTTCCGCTTAACACGACACGCCACACCGCCGTGGGTAATAATTTCAATAACGGTTTTGGGATAACCGATGCGGACTGATAACCGAACGAGAGGCTCTAGTTATCTGTACTACCAAGCAGTCTTTTTATCGCCCTTTTATTCTCATAGAGTAGGGCTTCCCAAGCCTGTTTCGCTGTGGACCCTTAATTTTTATTCAAAGTGGGATTTTACCCCGAGTATTTCTTGGAAATATCCAAGTTAAATCACTTGCTGTTTTAATAGAACTATTTAATTTTAATGCACTCAGTATTATTACCCTGTACAACTTTAGACTAGTCACCTGGGGTCCACCTGAACCACGTCCGAAATCCCTGTCCTAGGGTCTAGTCTAGGTCGTGGGTCGGCAACCTTTTGTAGCTCGCGGACCAAAATTATGGCCGCATATTTTTTTAGAAAAATAAGAACCGAACGAATGACCGATAAATCACAATTTTTACACAGACAGAAGTGAAAATTTCAAATTATAAGCAGCACGCAAAAACGGCGACAACTCATGAACTCAACTTCGTCATTTTACTTTCAGAAAAAAATTTACAAATGACGTTCAATGTGACACTTTTTAATGCATCACGCTTGATACGTTTTCGACATCAATAAGTGGGAAACATTTTTAAATCGGACACTGGATGAAACCAAGATTAAAACATTTTATATAAATGGGAATCACTCATCCGAGTTTTCTGCTTGTTGGACACGTAGTGGACATAACGATCGTTTCAAAATTTTGTTGTTATTGTTATTATTTGTCTCCATCAACACGTTTTGAAGAAATCGCTTTTCTCTTCGAATACTGGACCAATTGCTTTGAAATTTTCAGTGGTTCAAGATAAAGGCTATTACTTTTTTTTCGCTATGACGTCATCAAAATTATGTGAGTCTACGTGTCCATATATTTGAGCATAGCTCTCTTGTTTTTTGTTATGTTCATTTTCGAAAATAATTGTTCGCATGCATATGTAGCCTACTTCCAAAAACATCAATGTGAATTTTTTCGCATGGTTAATTTTGTTGTTAATTTTGGATAGAGTTTTCCTCAAAGAAAATACTTTTTTATAAAAATCAAGCAGTGATACACCTTTCGAATAGAATATGGATTTATTTCCCCAATGCGTTGCCCCTCAAAAAGTCCATTTGAATATTTTCTGCGTGCTGGGTCATATTATGATTTAGTCTACACGTGACTCACAATAAACTCTGTTACCTAAAAAATATAATCGTCAAAACAGCCGTTTTGTATCTATACTTCAGTGGAGCGTCGCGGGCCGAATTATTTCACTCCGCGGGCCGGATCTGGCCCGCAGGCTGTAGGTTGCCTACCCCCGGTCTAGGCCAATGTTTCTCAAACTATCTATTACAAATACTCTCTACCCTTGTGGGCCTCCTTCTCTCCAATAAAAATACTTATTTGCTATTTTAACGCGTTATCATCGGTTATTTTCTGCGCCACGTTCAATAATAAAAAGCCAGCAAAGCAGGGAATAAAATAATAAATGCATTACGGTTGAAAAATTAAACATTTTCCAGCTCATTTACCTTATATTGCTGTAGTCGCGAATGGTACCGTATCTAGTAAACGCCTCTGCTCGTGGCCTGAATTCTAGATTGGCCGGAGCACACTGCCCAGTCGAGAAGCCCAAAGCATGCCCGAATAATTACGAAGATCTTGGGTCAAAGGTTAGAGTAGGCCCAACATCTTCTGCTAACTTCACAGAAGTGTAGACTGCAGGGTTGTGAAACTGTAAACGCGTTTTCTCGAATATTTTTAGAATATTGTTCATTCTCACTATTGGAGGAGTAACACTTTTTAAAATGGATGTGGATATAACGGAAAAGACTATTTTAAGGCCTGTAGCCAAAGATCCTTACGTAGAACTAACGCCGTACCGCGATCAGCATTTCAAGGGGAGTCGTGACCAACAAGACAAGCTTTTGAATCTGACTACAACGCTTTATGTTGGGAATTTATCATATTATACAACAGAAGAACAGATATATGAACTCTTTGGAAAATGCGGAGATATTAAACGAGTTGTTATGGGGTTAGATAAATATAAGAAAACGCCATGCGGCTTTTGCTTTGTTGAGTAAGTAAAGTTTTTTTGTGGGGTATAGTCAATTACACATCGTTTTCTCAAATTTTCAACAGTCATTTTTTTGGAGCCCTAGGAAACAAGATACGAGCTCTCTGGACTTCTTTCTTTAGGGTTATATAAAGTATATTGTGTATCGAACAAATAAACGGGACATGACCAACCTAAAACATATAATTTACAGGTCTGGTATAGTTTAGTACCACATGCACTTCTAGTTGGCCTGGCTCAACAATTTTTTCATATGTCAATCCTAACCCCCACCTGACTACGACACCGAAAAATTACGTCATTTCGTCGTCACAGTGGCGTAAGAAGGCCCACCAAAGTATGCGGATGGTCGTCTAAAATGCGCAGACGATCACCCGAAATCGAGCAAGGTATTTCTCTCGTTTTCTCGTCACGACGATCACGATAGGAGGGAGATCGTCGGTGGTAGCGAGTTCGTTATCAGCGTCGCAGATGCCATTTCGGGCGATCTTAATTATACTTTGGCAAGCTCTATGACATGATGGTGACGTCGTAGTGACGTAATTTCTGGATGGCATAGTCAGGTGGAGGTGAGGAATAACATATGCAAAATTCGTTATGCTACGTCCATTGGAAGTACTTGTGGTACTAAACTATACCAGACCCGAATTTCCAATGCCATTGCAATCATTGATGAGGCTATGCTACAACGAACATGACAGGAAATTAAGTACTGTCTGGATTTGCTTTTTATAACTGATGGTGCCCGTATATAAGTGTATTAAATGTGTCAATAACAATTTTATGAAATACTGATTAACATAAAACAACCCTCGTTGCGATATCTCATCATTTTACTATGTAATAATTTTTTTAAATTGTAAAAAAGCTTCATGGACACCCTGTACATTTATTTCAGATACTACGCAAGAGATCACGCTGCTGATGCCATCAGGTATATAAACGGAACGAGGCTTGATGACAGAGTTGTGCGAACAGACTGGGATGCTGGATTCAAAGAAGGAAGGCAATTTGGAAGAGGAAAATCTGGTGGACAGGTATGTTTTCTGCAGTTGTTTTTGTATATTACAGAGGAGTAAAGACAGAGCAGCACTTAATAATCCACTTCTCCAAATTCATTCTGAAAAAATGTTTCCCAACATCTTGGGTAATGCTTGCTACTTGCTAGGTAAATTCCTCAAATTAAACTCAAAAGCATGAGTCAAAATGTGGGTCTAAACTTGTGTCAAATAAATTTTCAATTGGTAATTTAAAAAAGTTGATTTAATTTATTTTTGGGTAGGTAATGACGTCGAAAATCTATGCTGAAATGTTTTATCTGTGTCCTATCTGTGCAGTTTATTTCCTGATCATTTATTATTGAAGCTTTCAATCACAAATTTAATATCTTTGGAAAATGCACATTTCCAATTTTGCACGACTAGACTTTTTATGATAAAATTACATATTTATGTTTTTGTCTTCAGGTTCGTGATGAATACAGATCAGATTACGACCCAGGAAGGGGAGGATTTGGCGTCAGAGCTCAACTAAAACCAAAGAATCCTAACAAGTTCGGACAGAAAAATCAACAACAAAACTAAATAATCTTTCATGGCTGTCTGTGCCCTCTGTGGCAAGAGAAAAACTCTGCGAAGTTGTCGGATAACTGCTGTTACTCCATGAAATTGTACTATAGCACTAGCAAGTGCTTTTTATTTCCACCTATTTGGACAAAAAGCCATTTTTTGTAGGTTGGGTTGCAGCCACTATAGAATTATCTTGAAAACAAGTTATCTTTGTACGACCGTATCATTATCGTACGACCAGGGATGACCATTACCAAATTGTTTATTATTTTGAAATAACTTATTTGAATATGGCATACCGGAGGAATATATTCAAATTTGTCACCTTCAAAATTTGGTCCAAACATTTTAATGTATGGTAATCTTTTCACAACTTCTGAGTTTGAATTGAACTAACCTCATTTTTTGTCTGAGAGTCTAATGTTATTTGCCAAAGATGACAAATTTCAACATGGAGCCCTCCTAAATTATTCCTGGAATAAAAGAACCTAGACATCCTTAATTAATAGAAAACTGGCAAGTGCATCTCTACACTAACAAATATTTGCAGCCTGGAGTTTTCATCAAATAACGTTCATGTTGGACATAATAAATATCCTGCTTGGAAGCAGGGTCAGAGTTTAGCATGTTGATAATTGAGTCCGGGCTGTATTTTCAAACGCTCTGGAGTCTGAAATCCCTAACGTCTAAATTTCATTCTCTTAATCGTAAATTTACTTAACCCGATCGGAGTTGTAGTCAAAATTATTTTCAAAAGCAGTTTGGAGTTGATTGTAAATTTGTTCCAGACACAAGCTTGAGTAAAAAAATAGTGTAGTGCTGTAAACTGGGCTTTGATGAAATCTGATATTGGGCAATATTATTCAAATTTATAATTAGCAAATGCCCATGTTCAAGGCTACTCTAATAACCCAACATGATGGAGCCTCAACTCCAGAAAGAACATCATAGCTGGTCGGTCATGACTAGTCACTTGTAACTGATGACATCGCTGTTCCTGCATTGGTTGTTATTAATTTTTATTACGACTTTTTCATTTTTATTAGTGTATTTCTCAAATTGGAATTGCAAAACTGAATTGCGCACAAATTCATTTCACAAAAATAACTTTTAGATGTTAAAAAGATGACTTCAAAAAAATGACTTTGTGATCACTAACACTCATGTAGTATGTGAACCAGGATGGTGGACCCCCGGAATGTAGTATGTGTACCTAGTTAGGGTTAGGCCATAATTTCAGGTACAAATACTAAAGGAATCACTTGGCTAGTCCTCAAACTCGTAATAAAACTAAAATAAGGAAAATTATAACCTAACCTGGTACACATACTACGTTACGGTGTCCGTCATCTTGGTACACATACTACTGGAGCGCCTACACTTGTACTATAGAGCATTGTTTTTATTACAATAAAAATTGGAAGAACACGCCTCATTAATATGAGTGTTGTCTCGTTATTACTGCGATAAAACCAATCTCTGGGATGTTGGGTTTGCATCTGGAAAATATAGGGTGTCGGGATTTATCGATACCATATATTGCTTTGGCCCTCACAGATGCATTAAATGAAGTAAAACTACTTGGAACTATTACTGGTTGAAATACAATAAACCTGGTTAAGATATATTGACAACTGACTTCATAACATATTGTAAGTGGACTTTTCAGACACCCTTGTATATTAATGTTCCAGGGTTGCTGCCCCCTCCTCTCTAAGATTGGAAAATTAGGATAGGATAGGATTTACATATTTATCCCGGGGGAGAGGAAAGCCGGTAAGACGGCTTATCCATATGGCGAACCACGGCCTCTCGTCCGATTACCATTCCAAGTCGGGTATGGGATTAGTTTTACTGTATTATTTGTTTTCGGAAGCATGGACTTGGTGGTGGAGGAAGCCGTAACCGACCAGCGGTTACGTCAACGACGGCGAGGAGTCCAGCAATCCTCTCGCACATAACCATCCCTGCATGGGATTCGAACCTGCGAACCCACGCAGAGTAATTAGAGGTGCGGTGGCGAGCGTATTCCTAACGCTTAGCCCGTTGAGCCACACCGCCGCCACATCTTTACTTAAAAACTGCCTGCAACATAGAGTCTGGCCATTGCTTATGAAACATAGGGCCTTGTGATTGAAGAGCTGGACCTCTAACTATGATGGCATCCTGAATGCTACAGAAAGTAAATATTGTTGATAGAGATTGTTAAAAGTATTCCTTCAACCTACCAAGACTCTATAAAAGGAATTAATATGGCTTGAAATAATATTTTGGGTTGGGGTTAGTATGTGGCTGCTTGTCGTTGAAGGCTTTTTCCATCTTAAATGATGAATTAGTGGACTATTCCTATATGGTTAGCCAATCAGTTGAAAGTCTGTCCTCGTATGATTAAGCTGTCCTATCGACTTCCCACCCCAAGACCCCCGCTTCTAAGATGAAATCATAATGACTGATTTGTTGTCACTTCAGAATAGTAGTTAACACCCAAATATATAGTGGTGTGGTACAGTATTTAACATCTGGGTTTCCTTTTAAGCTTCTACTAGACCAGTGGTTCTCTCTTTTCTTTCGTTAGAAAGCAGAATTAAACATCTCCACTTCTTTTAATCAAAATGAATATTACGATTTTGAAACTACTTCATCATTCGTTGCTATTGCAATCAATTTATACCAAATTATCACCAACTCAAGCAATTCTCAATATGTTCATGGCGCACCTGAATGTTACTGTGGCCTAACTCAGAGACATGGCCCACTGGTGGAGAACCAAGCGCACTAGGCAGAAACATGGCATTGTCAATTTTTATTAGTAAAGCTTCACATTCTGTCTTCAAGAAAATGTGCTTCCTATCTAACTATTAATTTCAATCCAGTAGCGTAAGATGGATGAAGAATTAGCTGAAAAGAGAATATCAGTCGGAGACCAAAGACTTATCGATCGAAAGTTAGGGGATCCCCCAAAACAGAAACTGCGGTTTCGATTCATTCGCGCTGACTCTATAGTGACACCGTGTGTCCCATTACTAATTAATTAATAACTCGCTAATTATACGACATAATTTATCCAAAATCAATAGGCTTCTGGTCCAGTATGATGAATGCACATGCAAAATTTGGAGCAGATTCAACCCAGTTTTCGTGTGATATCGCGTAACATACGAAAGTGTCTAACAGAAAAACACCTATCAACATACTTACCGATCAAGATCGATAAGTAATAAGCGAAGACTTTCTAGAATAGGATTCTCAGTTTTATCTCTGGATAGATAAACGCTAACGACTTAATCACATTGCAAACCACTGCCTATATTAGACAAAAACAAAATGCTTGTCTGAAATAATTTATTACCAGCAGCACTTATATACATATAGCAGCGTAATTCGAGTCGTGAAAAACAGTCTGAAATTTTTCAATTATCAAGATCATCGTGACATTTCTTAAGATTAACAATTTCTCAACACTCGAGGCTTTAACAGATATCCTACACTGACTGTTCTATACAATGTTTTTCTTCCTATATTAGTTAATAGTTGAATCTTGCATGAATTCCACGCAGATGGGTATGGCAAAGTCAGAATTTATTTCAAACATTTAAATATTTGTCAAAAGGGGGCTCCCGAAGTATGCGAACCAAGATGGCGAACATCGGAACGTAACATGGGTAACAGGTTAGGGTTAGGCGATAATTTTTTTCCAATTTTAGTCCTATTATCAGTTCGAAGACTAGCCAAGAGCCTCCCGTAGTATTTATACCTAAAATTATGGCCTAACCCTAACCTAGTACACATATTACATTCCGATGTCTGCCATCTTGGTTCGCATACTTCGGGAGCCCCGTCAAAACAGGCTTTCTTTAATTGGTTCAGACTGGATTCACTGTCCGTCAATAACAAGGTTCTCACTGACCAAGATCTGGATCCACCAAAAACATAGAAGAAGAATAAGACTGTACGGTGGTAAGTCATGCAGAAACCAAATCATTAGCGCAAGTTACTATTTATGACGGTAGTTGTGATAGTCTTTAGTTCTTCCCAAAATTTTATTTAGTTGAACTGGTGACCGTACATTTGAACCCACGTACATTTGAACCCATGTGTACATCCGCGGGTTCAATCTATATGCGGGTGTTAAAACCCATGGGTTAGGGTTAGTATGGGTTCAACTATCCGTAAAACAAAAAAAATTTCCATATGTGCAATAGCATGCAGGTGCAATTGCAGGTGCAATTGTCATGGGTTCAAATGCACGTAGGTTCAAATGTGATGGAACCAGTTGAACTAGCCGGTGTCTGCCATATTATTTCAAAAGTTTCTTGAAAGCTGGGATTAGTTTGTTTTCTTAACTGATTTACACCTCTGACAGTCTTACTCATATATGGAGGCAATTTTGAGTTGAATATTATTCAAATACTACTGCCCGCTAAAAGAGTTGAAAGAAGGAATTTGGACTGTTCACTTTGCTTATCGAATAACAAGTTATCTATCGCCTATTATATTATACGAATGCTAGAATGTTTTCTTCAGCTGGAGGCAATTTAAAATATCTGAAGTTAATCGACTGCAAATTAAAATACTTTGGACATTCCAAGAGATTTGCAGGTACTCTTTGAAGTATATAAACCAAGATGAGTGACACTGAAACGTAGTATGTGTACCAACCATGTTAGGGTTAGGCCAAACTTTTATTCTAATTTTCCTTATTTAGTTCTATTACTAGTTCGGGGACTAGCCAAGTGACTACCGTAGTAATTGTACCTGGAATTATGGCCTAACTTTGACGTGGTACACATACTACGTTCCAGTGTTCGTCAACTTGGTTCACATACTTCGGGTGTATCGATTTGCAGGGTCCGAATTTCACCAACTAAAACCACCAAAACACATATTGACAAAAATTAACGCCTTTCAGTTTTTCCAACTCCTCGCTTTCCGGTGAAAAGATGTTTCGGTCTCTTCTCATGGATGTGTCGATCAGATTCCCCGGCTTTGCCCATCTGAATCATCTTACGCTGTGATATCTTCGCAAGTTTGCGAGCTTTCTCTCTCATCTGAAAATTATAAAGAAATCTTGTTAAATACATCTTCTCAAGAGCATTGGTTTCCATCCATGGAAGGTCAAAATCAAACATTTTACTATATTCGAAATATATTCTGCGAAATATTTTTGGAAATCAGAAAGGAAGCTGATAGAATTGACCACTAAAACACTGGCGCTGTTTTGGAGGAAAAAGTTCCAGCCGGTGACAGTCATCAGGAAAAAATCGAAATCCACGGATTTGGTCATTCTCGATTTCGATCAATCGATTGTTTCACTTACACATATTTCTGAATTGCTGAGATTTGACATCCGAGAAAATGAACGAGTTTGATTTTTTTTAATATTGAATGACTTAATAATTTAGTTTCGAAATAGACCATAAAGACTTGGTTATTGAGGATAGGATTTACATATTTATCCCGGGGGAGAGGAAAGCCGATAAGACGGCTAATCCATATGGCGAACCACGGCCTCTCGTCCGGTTACCATTCCAAGTCGGGTATGGGATTAGTTTTACTGTATTGTTTGTTTTCGGAAGCATGGACTTGGTGGTGGAGGAAGCCGTAACCGACCAGCGGTTACGTGAACCACCCAACGACGGCGAGGAGTCCAGCAATCCTCTAGCACATAACCATCCCTGCATGGGATTCGAACCTGCGAACCCACGCAGAGTAGTTAGAGGTGCGGTGGCGAGCGTATTCCTAACGCTTAGCTCGTTGAGCCACACCGCCGCGCCAGGGTGACCGAGAAGTTTCGCCCGATTATAAAGTCTTTATAATCAAATGATATATTTTTTTTAATCATAAAAAAGATTTATAGTCAGCCTGCATCTAATTGGATGTTTGAATGTTGGATGTTATAGTCCCCATTTATCAAACAACAAAATTTATTTAGGGCGAAACTTTTTGGACACCCTGTCATCATGTTTAGATGTAAGAATATGCTTGCAAGCCTTTGATTACAGCGTGCGGATATCTTCGTTTCACCACCCAATTACTGGACTACTATTCCCATATTGAACCTGTTAATCCAGGTTCAAAAATATATTTAATAAATGTCCAGGACAATGACCAAAGTAACTCCCGAGACACATTAACGAGCCCCCAAGTATAGAGAGCACATGGTCGCTTCACCTTCACAGCTGGTTGGTCATGATTTGTTATCTGTGAATGATGACATCACAGGTCATGCTCAGCCATCTGGGAAAATGCTAGTTGGCAGAAATACAGTAAGTCCTCGACTTACGACGCTGTTCAGTACTTGATACGCGGTGTAACCCGAATTTCAGTGTAAGTCGGAACATTATACTGTACAGTACATAAATTACTCTATACATATTGTACTGTATTGTAAAGTATGGTACTGTACAAATAATGCGAAAAAGTAGTATATTAGAAAAACAGAAAACAAGTCCATATCCATAATCGTAATGGTTCGCAATCGTCCACGTCATTTACAAACCAATGAGCCCAAAGCACTAATTTTCTTGATCACAATGATCCAGTTTAAGGGCTTCGATATCACAGTATTATCTTTTATATTTTTATGGAGTGCGTTCGTAACCTCGAAACAGCGTAAGTCGGGATCGCCGTAACCCGAGGACTTACTGTACAATAAAGATGCAGTTAACAAAACCTGTACTGGCAACCTATGAGGCCAAATAACTAGTCTTACCACAGGATCTCTGATTCCACTCTCGTCTCTATTTCTTGATTGACTTCTAACTCTTGAGTTTGCGCGAGCTACTGAAGTATCCATCGCTGAAGGATCTCTCTTTCTCTTCAGGTTGCGAGTCTTGCTACGAGATCGGAAGTGACCCTGTAACAAAATGTGCAGGCTCAGTGGTTGGAGTCTGTAATATCCAGTGATTGACTGAAGACTGTGGACAGTAATGAAACATTACCTATAGCGTAATTTCTCACGCATTATCGCACCTGAATATAATGTGCAAAACAGATCTCCCCTAACATATTCAAACCTACGATCGGCCTAAGAAATCAGCACAAGCAGCTTCTAGCCTGATTTAAACAAGTTTTGAATGCACGCAGTAGGATACATCAGTCCTATTAATCATTGCCAATGGAACAGGCCCACTCAGCAAAGTAGTTGCCCTCCCTGGGCTTGACTATGTTCGAGACGCGGGTTGAAGAACTCAGCCTTAAACTCCTGATAAATCATTTCTCGTCATCATAGGGTGGTTAACATATCCACAGGTCCAAACTCACACATCTGTTTTCATCGCTCCATCACCCTCTCTCAGGAGAAATACAAAACTTGAGGGGGAAATAATTAACTTTGTTCTCACCTGTTTTCTCCCCCTCAATTCCACCCCCAATTCACCCATTTCATTCTCTAAATCAGTTGGTTTCTTGTTCACTGATGTCGTTCGACGAGTGACTTGAGGTTTTTGAATCTAGAAAAATAATGTCACATGAAATACAATAATACAAGGGTGTCCATAAAGTCTCTTTACAATTACAATTTTGTAAAAGTCTCTTGATGTTTTTGAATCTAGAAAAATATAATATATATGAAATCTAATAATACAAAACCCAATAAAAACAAGAGAGAGAAGTCTTTGGATAAGGGTCGGATCATGAAATGGTTAAAAGCAATTAATTTAATATTCTGAATACATTTTGAAACAAGAGCAATTCTCAAACATATGGACATGGAGGTCGCGTATTTGCACCGAATTTGCTAGAAGGATCGGCGTATAAGCATGATAAAATAAATTGTTTCTATAAGCTTAAAAAAGTGTTCATAAGAATAAAAATTGAACAGCAAAATTTGGGTCAATTAGTGCAGAATTTCCCAAACATTTTGGGCCGAGACCCTGTTTGTGAAACACTGAATTACCGAGTCCCATACACGTCAAGAGAAATTTGAAAATAAATATAATATTAAAAAAATGGATAGCCTTCTAGCGGCTTTTTCCATCTGAAAATTTGAAATTGATTGGTACATTAGTTGCAGAAAAGGCCTATTCTTGCTAAAAATAACAACCTTGCAAGGCAATCCATGTGCATACTTTGTGTCCAATAACATTTTAAAAAATTTTAAATAAATATGACAACAAAAATCACCTCAACAACAGGAATTTAACAAAATGTTTTAAATGCACACTTCCATGTTCAATAACATTCTAATAAAAAATACAAAACGATTTAACTACCTTTCTTTTCTCGTGGCTCTCCAACATCCTGATTTTCTTCTTCTCTCGTATTTTTGCAGCGAGTTGACGAATTTCTTTGGTTTCTTCATCATCGGACTCCTAAAATTAGAAAAAAATATTTTGAATTTTTTTTTAAAAAAACTATACAGTTTATAGCCATCTAAATTTGAATACTGTGAAAAAAACAATGTTAAAAATACAATTCACTAATTTTAGGCTATTTATTTGGTTTCTGCGAGACTAACTACTTATCCTTCTTCTAGGCTTTTGTGCCGGCGGATCCGTATGCAAGGATGCAAGAGTAAAGATAACGATTCTAGGTTCCTGTAACGTTTTCTCTGAGGAAGAGTCAAATTTGTTCAACTATCGCAAGAAAAGCAGTTGCATGTATATTTAATGTCTGAAGAAGTCTAATCCGGTCAGCCAAACGTTACAGAGATATATTTGTGTTAGTAGGATATGTGAGATAGTTACAGAGATATATTTGTGTTAGTAGGATATGTGAGATAGTTACAGAGATATATTTGTGTTAGTAGGATATGTGAGATAGTTACAGAGATATATTTGTGTTAGTAGGATATGTGAGATAGTTACAGAGATATATTTGTGTTAGTAGGATATGTGAGATAGTTACAGAGATATATTTGTGTTAGTAGGATATGTGAGATAGTTACAGAGATATATTTGTGTTAGTAGGATATGTGAGATAGTTACAGAGATATATTTGTGTTAGTAGGATATGTGAGATAGTTACAGAGATATATTTGTGTTAGTAGGATATGTGAGATAGTTACAGAGATATATTTGTGTTAGTAGGATATGTGAGATAGTTACAGAGATATATTTGTGTTAGTAGGATATGTGAGATAGTTACAGAGATATATTTGTGTTAGTAGGATATGTGAGATAGTTACAGAGATATATTTGTGTTAGTAGGATATGTGAGATAGTTACAGAGATATATTTGTGTTAGTAGGATATGTGAGATAGTTACAGAGATATATTTGTGTTAGTAGGATATGTGAGATAGTTACAGAGATATATTTGTGTTAGTAGGATATGTGAGATAGTTACAGAGATATATTTGTGTTAGTAGGATACGTGAGATAGTTACAGAGATATATTTGTGTTAGTAGGATATGTGAGATAGTTACAGAGATATATTTGTGTTAGTAGGATATGTGAGATAGTTACAGAGATATATTTGTGTTAGTAGGATATGTGAGATAGTTACAGAGATATATTTGTGTTAGTAGGATATGTGAGATAGTTACAGAGATATATTTGTGTTATTGGGATATGTGAGATAGTTACAGAGATATATTTGTGTTAGTAGGATATGTGAGATAGTTACAGAAATATATTTGTGTTAGTAGGATATGTGAGATAGTTACAGAGATATATTTGTGTTAGTAGGATATGTGAGATAGTTACAAAGATATATTTGTGTTAGTAGGATATGTGAGATAGTTACAGAGATATATTTGTGTTAGTAGGATATGTGAGATAGTTACAGAGATATATTTGTGTTAGTAGGATATGTGAGATAGTTACAGAGATATATTTGTGTTAGTAGGATATGTGAGATAGTTACAGAGATATATTTGTGTTAGTAGGATATGTGAGATAGTTACAGAGATATATTTGTGTTAGTAGGATATGTGAGATAGTTACAGAGATATATTTATGTTAGTAGGATACGTGAGATAGTTACAGAGATATATTTGTGTTAGTAGGATACGTGAGATAGTTACAGAGATATATTTGTGTTAGTAGGATACGTGAGATAGTTACAGAGATATATTTGTGTTAGTAGGATACGTGAGATAGTTACAGAGATATATTTGTGTTAGTAGGATACGTGAGATAGTTACAGAGATATATTTGTGTTAGTAGGATACGTGAGATAGTTACAGAGATATATTTGTGTTAGTAGGATACGTGAGATAGTTACAGAGATATATTTGTGTTAGTAGGATAAGTGAGATAGTTACAGAGATATATTTGTGTTAGTAGGATATGTGAGATAGTTACAGAGATATGTTTGTGTTAGTAGGATATGTGAGATAGTTACAGAGATATATTTTTGTTAGTAGGATATGTGAGATAGTTACAGAGATATATTTGCGTTAGTAGGATATGTGAGATAGTTACAGAGATATATTTATGTTAGTAGGATATGTGAGATAGTTACAGAGATATATTTATGTTAGTAGGATACGTGAGATAGTTACAGAGATATATTTGCGTTAGTAGGATATGTGAGATAGTTACAGAGATATATTTGTGTTAGTAGGATAAGTGAGATAGTTACAGAGATATATTTGTGTTAGTAGGATATGTGAGATAGTTACAGAGATATGTTTGTGTTAGTAGGATATGTGAGATAGTTACAGAGATATGTTTGTGTTAGTAGGATACGTGAGATAGTTACAGAGATATATTTGTGTTAGTAGGATATGTGAGATAGTTACAGAGATATGTTTGTGTTAGTAGGATACGTGAGATAGTTACAGAGATATATTTGTGTTAGTAGGATAAGTGAGATAGTTACAGAGATATATTTGTGTTAGTAGGATATGTGAGATAGTTACAGAGATATGTTTGTGTTAGTAGGATATGTGAGATAGTTACAGAGATATATTTTTGTTAGTAGGATATGTGAGATAGTTACAGAGATATATTTGCGTTAGTAGGATATGTGAGATAGTTACAGAGATATATTTGCGTTAGTAGGATATGTGAGATAGTTACAGAGATATATTTGTGTTAGTAGGATACGTGAGATAGTTACAGAAATATATTTGTGTTAGTAGGATATGTGAGATAGTTACAGAGATATATTTGTGTTAGTAGGATATGTGAGATAGTAATTCTCACTCTTGCTACAGCATCCCTGTATTATATACATATAAACTTGCACAAAATATAAAAAAAGGAGTTCATCCCGCAGAAACCAAATAAATAGCGTAAAATTAATGAATTGCATACAAAATGGTAAATTTTTGGTGTTCCATAAAGGCGTGTACCAATATGGGAGTAAATGATTTTGTTCGCCTATTTTGCATCAAGTTCTGTAAAGGGACTGAAACCTATGGGCAGGGGAATATTCACTTGGCTTACACAGACAGCCCGAATTTGTGATAAAACGGAAATAAGGAAAATCGGATGGAAATTATGGTCAAACCCTAACCGGGTACACATATTACGTTACGGTGACCGCTATCTTGGTTCACATACTTCGAAAGTACCGCAGATTGTGCTAGGATCTCAAATTATTTCAACCTGAACCCAATTGGAAAATTACTAATTTGGTATTTCAAAACGTGGAAGGGTGTTTCCTCGAATCAGTGGGTGGGCTTTGTACAAAAGATCCGATCAAGCATAGCTTCCTGAGATTGCGTGCAACTAACCGACCGTGGAAAGGTATTTCTGCTCAATAACCCTCAGCACACCAGGCGACACATTGAACAATTGCTTGCATAACAATGTCGACTTCGATCGTAAGACCGGAGAAGCGAGTGTGTCAATAAAATATAAAGAAGGCATATTATATTTCGAACGGTTTACCATTTTAAACGTGAACAAAGGTTGTGGAATAGTAAAATTTCACATACTTCGGAAGTACCGGAAATCGGAATAAAATTATTATTGCCTAACCTGGTACACACACTACAGGAGTACCCAAATGAGAAACTCATCCTCAGAAAACATCTCTCACCTCATCATCATCATAGAATCCTGCTTCTTCCTTCTCTTCCTCTTCTTTTTCCAAGGATTTTAATTTAACCATGATATCTGGATCAATATAGTCAGCGATATTATGGCCTTGCCAGATCTCAGGTAACGTATCATGCTTCTCATCTGGGTTCTTGAGGTCCCACCATTCTGAAAGAAAAGTAAAATGTATTTATATAACTTATTTTGCCTTAAACCGTCACTAGTAGGTGAGGAGATAACAAGGGTGATTGAAAAAGATGATAATGAAAAGATTAAAATGATAACAAGGATAACATTGGTTGCCAATCATTTATGGCTCCCTTCCAGAGGATTTCAGAACTCATAGCCCCCTGTTTATGATTCCAGTGAAATTTATAGAGTTTCTAGTCCAAATTATATTATATTCAAACAATTCATGCTCAACAAGCGAAAAACAAAATAACCTTATCAAGAAATGAAACTAGGAAGAACAGAGGGTTTAAAAAATTAAAATTAGTTTTGCGGCTAGCATTGTAAACCCCCTCAAACTGCTCTGTGGCCCCCTTGGGGAGCCCCAGGCCCCGTTAGGAACCTCTGTCATGGAGTGGTATACCCAGAAAGAATAAAAAGGAGCGCCTGACTAACTATTTTGACTTCGCAGGTTAAAGACTCTGGGTCCAGGTAGGCAATGTTAAACAAGATGTGGATTCGGATTCTTCCCAAATAAGCAGATTTCTAAAAATTCAATGAATTCCTTGTTCAAAGGCAAGGCCAGCAGTAGCACTGGACTTTGACAAAATTGGCATCTGGATTTAAAGATCCTTGTTACAAATCCCATATCCCTCACGCAACCCATGAATTGGCAATGTTAAGTAAAAAAGATTCAGTCTTTTCAAAAACAGTAGCCTTTCAAACATAAGTGGCTGTAACAACGAAGCACTTTTGAAATGAAAACACTGTATATATAAAATATCCCTCAGTAGAGGTTACGCGAGACCAACTCCCAATCCTTGAGCTAGTGGATCCGTATGCGTGTAACGCAAGGAATAAACATACCATACTATGCAATTCATGAGTTTTGCTGGCACACTAACACAAATGTATTTCTGTAACGTTTCGTCCGACCAAAATCAGACTTCTCTGACAAGCAGTTTGCAACAATCAATGAGGAAACTCTACTGAAAACGGTTGTGCCTAACGCTTTTTATTCGATTCTTGGGTGTTCGACAATCCACTACTATTGTCGTAAACTGCTTGTCTGAGGAAGTGTGATTTTGATCAGACGGAAAGTTACAGAAATACATTGTGTTAGTGTGCAACAGGACTCTTGGACTACATATAAAAAATGACTCCCAATTTCTAACTCTGGTTGCAATATTAGAACAGAAATGATTAAACAAACCAACTAACTTTGCAAATCAATCACATATTCATCATCCATTTCAATTTCAATATCTCGTTCAGTTTTTCTTGTTGTTATGACATCATCAGCATCCATGGCAACCGCTTCTTCGCCTAGCAACGGGTCGACTTCCTGTCCTCTTGCAGCTGCAGCTCGCTTAGCTAGAATTTTGGCAGGAATGCACGGAGGTCTTGCCTGAAAATACAGAAAAAACAAGAATGCATATTTCTGTATTTATCTAAAGAAGAGAGCTGATAAAGCCACTTGATCTATAGCCAGTACTCCTGAAGTATGTTAACCAAGATGGCGGACATCAGAATATAGTTTGTGTACCAGGTTAGCGTTAGGCCATAATTTCAGGTACAAATACTAGCCCTAACCTGGTACGCATACTATGTTCTGGTGTCTGCCATCTTAGTTCACATACTTCGAGAGTACCCATACGGCTAACAATGGTTTCTCTTCTGGGTGCCAGATCATGTCAGGAAGGGAATAGTTAACTAGTTATCTATTTCAGATGCATTAGACTTGGTGGTGGAGGAAGCCATCCGATTAGCAGTCGCAAGAACCACTCTACAGGTGTCATGTACACACAAAAAGTTACATTTTTTAAATGAATTTCATTTACAGTATTACAAAAGCAAAACGATAAGTACACAAGGCAAAAGTAAGGGGCGTGAGAGGCACGTCGTCGAACCGAGTGAGCGAGAAAACGTGAAGTTTGTTAACGTTCCCAGAGCATGAATCACTCTGGCAATCTAAAATACAAATTACACAGACTACGATCATAATCTAACAAGCCTATTTTGATTTATAAAAGCAGAAATTCAAAGCAGCATCAGGCGGGACAGATTGAATCACTCAATTTTTGGCATAGTTTGTCCATGTCAGGGCTTCATGCATATCTATATATATTCTCTCAATCTATAGATGTTTCAGATGCTAGGTGGAGGAAGCCATAATCGACCAACAGTTGCAAGGCATCCACCCTACAGCACATATGTTAGTCTTTCCTTTCTTCCTCTTTGTTAAAAACAGAGCTGTGGAGTGTTTCCACTGGGGTTAGAGTCGCATGCTCAAAAAAGTCAAAATTCTAAATTTCCCGAGAGCATATCCCAGACTTTCAGAGTTGATAAAAAAGTCAACATTTTCTACTGAAACTCAACAAGCATGCAGTTTACACTGCGTTACTACTTCAGCCTATTGAAATAGGCATGCGTATGTCGTAAGTTTTTGATTTTCTCTAGAGCCGGAGCCAAAATTTTTATAATCAGTTTTTCATAACTTAGAATCGGGAGAAATAGAAATAACATAATTTATTTTCATGAAATAGCAAGAACATTTGCGAGCTCTCGTTAGAATAAAGGCTGCTCCCGAACTATGTGAACCAAGATGGCGGACATCGCAGTGTACTAGGTTAGGGTTAGGCCATAATTTTAGGTATAAATATTACGGGAGGCTCTTGGCTAGTCTTCTTGGTTCGCATACTTCGGGAGCCACAGGCTTACTTCAATTATTTATTATCCTGGTACCAGGATTATCCAAGCTTGAGTTTCCCGTCTCGGCTGAAAAAAATGCAGAAAATTATCTTACCTTGTCATCTCTAGGTGTCGGTTGAGCAACTCTCAATCTGTTCAATATATTTCCGACTTTTTTTCCTCGCATTTTTGCATCCACACGATGGAGCAATAATTTATCGCAAGCATCCTCTCTCAATTCCATGATTCCAATACCAGAAACTAGACAGATGGATAGGATTTAGTTATTTATATATTTATCCAGAGGGAGAGCGAAGGGAATTAAACTGCTCAATCATATGGCGAAGCACAACCTCTCGTCCGTTACCAGTCGATGTCAGGTATTGGATTAGTAAGCCATTTATTTGATTTAAGATGCATGGGCCTTCCAAAACCAAACGAATATCCAAACACATAAAGTAGGTAATTCAATACATATACCTGTATATAATTCTCCATTTTAGGGAGAATTCGGGATAACTCAATTTTAACATTTCACCTCTTATAGTCAGACAAAATCCCTGATTTAGTTGTTACATAGTATAAAAGTGAATATTATCCATACAGCGAATTTTCCGGACACGGAAATGAATAAAGTTGAAATCTACCTGTGCTTGTCCAGAACACAGGGACTCCATCCTTCTCAATATCTTCAAATATCTTTTTCCGATCTTCATCCAAATCTTCTTTACTAATGATGTCAGTCTTGTTTGCCATCACATACAAAGGCTGAAAGTAGAGAAAGTAGAATATTGAAAAAAAAAAGTGAGAGAATAGAATATATACTTTTCATGATCACTCGATTCGAAAGCGTGCTTTTTCACAGCTCTATTTATCGCTTTGCTTTTGTAATATTGTAAATAAAATTGTTTTCAAAAATCTAACTTTTTATGGCACACTTATATGAACCGTCAGTCCAGGTAAGCAAAATGTTTGGCCCCTGGTCAAAAAAACGTGCCCAATCCTGATATACAAAAAGAAGGAAAGCCACAAGTGAAAATTGATTAAATGACCTAATAAAAAACATTGAGTTTGGTAACGGTCTTTTTCAACGAATAAAATGACAAAACCTGCTTCGGATAAGATATATTCATATTTATCCGAGGGAAAATGAAACTCATAACGGTCAATCATTTGGCGAACCATGGCTTGTGATGCAATAATGTGGTCCAAGTGTGGCATGGGGGTAGTTAAGCAGTGTTAATTGCTCAAAATGCATGGACTATTGCAGTGGAGAGAGCTGTAACTGACCAGTGGTTACATTAACCACTCAACAATAGTGAGTAGTTCAGCAATCTTCTTGCCCATATTTATCTCCAACGGGTTCAACTATGCAAACCTTAACAGAAAAACGAGAATATCGGTTGGAAACGGAAGACTTATCGATCGATAGTTAGGGGATCCCCCAAAACAGAAACTGCAGTTTCGATTCATCCGCTCTTGTAACTTGTGCACTGCGCATCGCACACACACACTCGGCGGGTCACAAAATTCTCTCGCTTTACAATAATCTAGATCACTATATCAATAATTGAATAATAACTCGCTAATTATACGACATGATTCGCCCAAAATCAATGGGATTCTGGTCCGAGATAAGATGAATGCACATGCGAAATCTGGAGCAGATTCAATCTTGCTTTCGTGAGATATCGCGTGCATCTAGATCTAACATACAAACAGACAGACATACAAATACCTATCAACATACTTACCGATTAAAATCGATAAGTAATTAGTGGTGCGATGGCAAGCATGTTCCTTATGCTTATCACAATGTATCAACTGTTAAGCCGCCCTGAAAGCTGACCTCGATTTTGAACAATATTACCCCAATAAATCTATGTTTTGCATATCAGTGGTTGCCTTTAACTTTGTTCAAAGATGACTCTTATTTATTTCTACCTCATACGTGCAACATGGTTTTCAATTTTCTCCTAAATTAGAACTACCATGCAGAAAAGTCAGAATACTATTATCTACAAAAAAGTAGTTTTTAGTTGTTACTAAAACTTGTTGAAAACTGCTCACAATTTATAAATTTTAAACCTCAAGTTCATACATTATAAAACCTCACCTTATTAGCAAAGAGGGGTTTAATATTTTTGAAAAGTTGCAATTGTGCCTCTAGTGGTTGACCACATTGTTCCGAGATATCCATGACGTAAATCACTGCGGAACGTAGATGAGCAAGAGCGGTTATCGACAACATTTCAATTGTATTGCGCTCCTCTAGTGGATGATCTAGGATTCCCGGAGTGTCAATGACCTGGAAGAATCATAATTTTTATTATTAAATTTTTTCCACTATTTCGCTATGAAAGGGGTCGTCGTACAAGCCTGCCAACTGACTCACAATAAATTCAGTAGACAATGTTGAACTGGAACTATCCTGCTAGTTTCAAGACAATTGAAATCATCCTTCAAATTGTCCTTGTTTAATGTAAAATGTGAACTTAGATATACAGGGTGTCAAAGTTCATTTACAATTTCAATTGTGTTATGAAGTCGGTTCTCAATGTATCTTAACCATTGTTGTTGTTTTTTAATCAGTGATTGTTCAAGTATTATTACTTTGTTTAATACATCCGTGAGGGCCAAAACAATATACGGTATCAATAAATTCGTTAGACTTTATGGAGACCCTATATATTTTAAATAAACTAAATGCTAACTATGTCCGCATCTTTGGTTACGGATCCTGAGTTGGGCCGATGATCAATATCTCACCCAGTGTGACCGATTCAATTGAGTAGGCGATGCTGGCCCAAAATAAATCAGGTCTACAGAACAGTATATTCTGGCTGCTTTGCCAGAAAATTTATTTAAAAAAAAACAATGATTTAAAAATAAACAAACAAAACTAACCTGCCATCTCAAGTATTTATAATCCATGTGTCCAACGAATAATGATTTGGTAGTGAAGGCGTATGGTTGAACGTCAACTTCTGCTCTAGTTAACTGTGAAAAAAAATATCAAAATTAAAATATCATTTTTTTAATACTTAAAATGTTTTTACAGAAATTTGGCAATGATATATTTTCAGTCAAAATACTTCAAGCGTATGGTTATCAGAAAAAACTGCCCGCCTGGTGAATCGACTTTGGTTTCAAAAGCATATAATAAAATGAACATCATCTCAATCTACATAAAACAAGGTGGATTATGCTTGTTACAATACGGTTCTCAATTTATTGAAACCCAAAATAAGAGAGGATTCAGGTACTTTGTTCGTGCCTACTAGATATCCAGTTTAAGCACTGTCCAATCCACCTAATGCTGATATGTTTAGGGTTGTGCCAGCCAAGAAATCAAGGTAACAAACAGGTTATGTATAAATCAGTGATTAGGCTATCGAACTTTTCAAGCCGCGCCAAATATTTTTATTTTCAATTAGCTTTACGGCATCTCAAAACCATATATATCGTTTCAATAAAAAAATTCCATGAGTTGGCGTGGCAGCGTTAAGCCGATGGATTTGAATTTTGATGGCATACCCAGCTAGTAATCTCAGGTTTAAATCTGACAAGCACAACCTCACCAAAGTTTTCATGCGTTCATACCTAGAAGCAGATGCCTGTACAAATTCAGAATGAAAATGCTTGGGTAAAAATATGAGGGCGCGCCAGAAGTATGTGTTCCAATATGGAGGTAACTAATTTTGTTACCCCATTTTACATCAAGTTGTGTAGATGGACTGAAACCTAGGGGCAGGGGGTATATCCATTTGGCTAACACAGACAGTCCCTGAACTCGTAATAGAACTAAAATAAGGATAATGTGAATAAAATTATTGCCTAATCCTAACCTGGTACACATACTACGGGAGTACGAGTAGTTTTTGAGAAAATCACACAACACAAAAGCCAGCCATTAACGTGATCCACCTCTCTAAATTGAATTCGATTTCCCAACATTTGAAAAACAATTAATCAGTAAATTAATTAGCTTCTCGCCCCTTCAAAAAATCATCTACGCCGCACCATTTGAGAACCTCTTTCAGTGGCTACTTTTACAAGGCTTAGTCCAGACTAAAAGGCATGCAAGTTTAAGAAAATTACATAAAAAAACTGTTCTTGCACAAGTTTTTGCAGAAGGGCAAATAAAGCAACCAAACCTTATTAATTAAACTAGATTTCCCAACATTTGGAAATCCACTGATCAGTAAAGTCCTTGTATTTGGATCAATGCTTGGTAAACGAGACATGTGTTGTCGGACCTCTTCTAAATATTCCAGACTTTGTTTTTGTCGTTTCATTATCGTGCACATCCTACCAAGAGCTGCTCTTTTCAATTGTTTGCATCGATATAATGAATCACCATATTTCATTAGTCGACCGTAATCACGACCAACACTGTAATATTGAATAATATAGTGATTGAAACCAGAGCTAAGATCTAAAGCCCGAGCTGACCCGAAATTCAGGGCCGGGTTGGGCCTGAAATGTCAATCATTACGTTCTGGTCGGGTTCGGTGGGGCTACTCTATCGCCGACTTTTTTTAAAAATGAGGCGTTTCGGCCGTGTTGTGGCTACGAGAAATCGTGGTCTGCAAAAAAACAGAAGTTGCATTATCAACACGACACATACTTTACAAAACTCTTGCGATGACAATTCAATGAGATCCTAAATAAAATATGAAATTTTGGGTTTGCTTCGAGCTCGGGCCTGCAAATCCAGTTAATTAGTCGAGTTCGGGTCGGGCTGAAATTTTTGGGCCAGATCTTACCTCTAATAACTACGCATGAATAGTGTCATGCGGTTGGCACAGTGGACCAAAGTTGGCTGATCGGGGCCAAAATTTGAAGGTATAAAAGATATTCGAGGGCCAAAATAGTGGAGCACCCGCAAGGGCCCGATGCTGGTATGTATAAATAAGATACAGGTATAATTGAACATGCTAAAACAGTCATATTGATTATTGACCTAGCAATTGGCGGTATCTAAAACGAAAAAAGAAAAAACAAAGTTTTGACTTATTTTGAAATGAATCAAATATTCGAATACATTCAAATTGGTAATTTGTAAGAAGTTAATTTTATGAACAATATTTGTGTGTTACGAAAATGAAAAACAATAAGCCTCGTGTCAAAACTAAATTTAATCGCAATATCAACAAATTTCGTGAACTATTTTTGAGTGAAACAATATAAAAATTTGGTTTTAGTTCGGTTGTGGTAGCATCAGGCAGGCCAGATTGAATAACCCACCAGGTCGGATTTGACACAAGGGCCGGAGTTTGTCCAGTGTCCACAAGTGCAGTTTTAAGCACCTTGTGGCATCTGAAGATGCCGCAAAACCATTGCGGGATTTCCAAACCATGGCCGCTAAGGTCAGGCCAGGGCAGCTGACTTTTTAGCTGCCACAGTCCTCGAACGAAAGGCGTGAGGTGGTGTATCACAACAGAAAATTGAAAACCATGGTTGGTAAAATTGTGTGAAACCCAGGGATGTAGGCTGTAATGGCAGGACTGCCCCTGATGATGACACACTTTGGGTAAGTTAGAACATTTTCCGGTGCTCTCGAAGTATGCGAACCAAGATGGTGGACATCGGAACGTAACATGGGTAACAGGTTAGGGTTAGGCGATAATTTTTTTCCAATTTTCCTTATTTTAGTCCTATTATCAGTTCGAAGACTAGCCAAGAGCCTCCCGTAGTATTTATACCTAAAATTATGTCCTAACCCTAACCTAGTACACATATTACATTCCGATGTCCGCCATCTTGGTTCGCATACTTCGGGAGCCCCATTTTCCTTATGGATACAGTTTTTGATTAATTTGAGGTATGGCTAGGTTTAGGTAAATATAGAGTAATAGCGCCATAAAACCATGGCGAAAGACGCCGCGGTTTGTTTTGGCGGGAGCTGCCATGAAGTGGTAAGAATTGTGCCTCAATGTCCATGTCAGTTTTAGAGCCAACGTTCTTACTTGTCAATAAGATGTTTAGCAGTGTTGATTTGTCCGAGAGCAAGTTTGTAATGGTCCTTGTCATAGAGAACGTTCATTAGATCTGCATAAAATGGATGGACATCCTGAAAAAAAAAATTAAGAGATGAATAAAAGTAATATTTGGTCTGTATCAACTTTGCAGTTGCCACAAAGATGCTTAAATGAGATAGTATTAAAATGATAAATGAGAATACCATAATCCAGAGGTGGGCAATTACTTTTTCGAGTGGACCATTTACAGATAACAGACTTGGTCACTGGGCAGGGCACTCAAAACTCAATATGGACCTATAAAAAAATGTTATTTACAAATAAAAACCTATGAAAAAAAGTTTATCTACAAATACCAGTTGATGTACAACAAACAACAATCGAAGCAAGTGGCGCATTATATTTAGGTGCATATAATACATTGGAATTACGATCTATATTTTAGCCGATGATTCGTTATTTTTTTCGAAATTTTCAACTCAAATGTATATACGATATCTATAAAAACTTTTGAAAAAGTTTGGGTTTTGTTGAAGCTGTTAAAAAGATCAATCGAAGCATTTAATCAAAAATTATTCTAGTTGGAAATGAAACGTGTTTCAAAATATACTTCTATTCTGCTCTGAATAACATCCTGAAATTAATTATATTCAATATTTTAAATTCTAGATTTTAAGAATAGCTTGGGCGCTCCAAAAGTATGTGTACTAATATGAAGGTAACTAATATTTTTCGCCTACTTTACAACAAGTTGTTCGAAAGGACTGAAACCTATGGGCAGGGGATATTCACTTGGCTAACACAGATAGTTCCCGAATTCATAAGGAGAATCGGAACCTAACCTGGTACACATACTACGGTGCCATAGCTTGAATAATTCTATCAAAAAATAATCATTCTGAGGGAAGCGTCTTAAAATAATGGATCACTCAATTTTATCCATCCCTGTATCAATATTCAAAATTAATAATAATAAAAATACCTCAAGTTTAGGAAACTCTGTAAGAATCAGACTCAATCTATCATGGTAGTTCTGTTGAGTGTATCGAACTTTCCGTAAATAAAACGCTCGTATTCTGGAGATCGGATAACTTTTATGAACTACAGTTGGAGTTTTTCTCTGTGTCTTTGATAATGTGATGTCAATGAAGTCCTGTGAAAATAAGTAAGAAAAGATTAGTAAAGAAATTGAGCATGAGTTTAGCTTGAGAGTACAGAGTAACCTAAAAATGATCCAATGTCATTTAGAAACTATTCTGTAGAGAACGTAACTTTTGTGCAAAGTGTCATGCACAAACAGAAGTTCCAGTGTTCCAAAGAATCCAATGGTGAAGTTTTTAGATTGCTCTTACTTTCAGTTTATTGCACAAGGCTGGTTTGCCGATTTATGCCGCTATGGAGGCCTATACTGTCATGTAAAGAAGGAGTTTGCTCTCACTATTATAATTAATTAATGTCTTTCAATGCGAGGGTTATTCTTAGAAATATCATACTGAACTATTCCCATGTTCTACACTTACTTTCGATGATGGCACCACTGTGATCTTTTTGAAATTATACAGAGCCATTTTAAATTTTATGCTGAAAAAAACAAAGCAATTGTATTACATGCTTCATAGAGACAATATGCCGTAGGCAGAGTATATCTGGCTAAACGCTGAAACTGTGAAATGAGCGTCTCTTTCCATACCATCATAAGACATGTAAAAGGTTCTTGGCAAAAAGAAGCAAAGACATAACAGCAAACCGTATGGGTAGGTAGTCTTGCAGTGACAGATTGAATAGAATTTACATACTTATCCCAGGGGAAAGGAAAGGGATAAGACGACCTAACCATATGGCAAACCACGACCTCGCGTCCAATTTCCATTTCATGTCGGGTATGGGATTAGTTAGTTATTTGACAAATTGTTTTTTGGAAGCATGGACTTCAGGACTGGTGGAGGAAGCCCTAATCGATCAGCGGTTACGTGAACCCCCCAACGACGGCGAGGAGTCCAGCAATCCTCTCGCACATAACCATCGATGCATGGGATTTAAACCTGCAAACCCACGCAGAGTAATCAGAGGTCTGGAGGTGCAGTGGCGAGGAGTGGGAGTGGTGACTCCTCTGCGGCCCATGGGCCGGGGCCACGGCCCATCGAATTGGGCCTCGGCCCATCAGGATATGGGCCGCGGCCCATCAAGTTGTGTAAAGAAACTATTCACTTGGCTAACACAGACAGTCCCCGAACTCATAATAGAACTATAATGTAAAAAATCTGAATTTTTTTGTCCTAACCTGGTACACATACTACAGGAGTATGTTTTTTTTGGTTAGAATATTGACAATTTGGTAAAAATTGAAAATTTTGTTAAGATAATTGAATTTTTCCTGATGGGGCCGCGGCCCATCAAGCTATGGGCCACGGCCCATGTGGCCCCGGCCCACGGGCCGTAGAGGAGTCACCACTCCTGTAGGTGGCGAGTGTATTCTTAACGCTTAGCACAATGGGGTCTCATGTTGTTTTGTACCTAACATACTTCTTGTGGCCTTGTGGGCGTAGCATGACAATTTTTTCATGTGTCAATCCTAACCCCCACCCGACTACACAATCCAAAAATTATGTCACTATGACGTAATAGAGCCCTTCAAACTGTAAAAACTGTCATTCAAAGCACGCAGACGAGCACCCAAAATCAAACAGCTATTTCTCTTGTTTTCTCGTCGCGACGATCCCAATACAGCAATATGAGAGAGATCTGTACGTATGTACCGTCGGCCCTGGTAACTGGGCTAAGTCGTACCTACCCGTAACGTTAAGTCATTTTAGCATTCAGGCCAGACTGCCAGAAGTAGACTATACTGACTATAAGTATACCAGTACTGCAGTAAGTACCGTACCGTACTGCCGTATATTTCGATTTTCCAGCAAAAAAAATCATACACAAAACACAAACAATGAACACACATTGACACAGAAGATTGGGAAAATCGGGGAAACCTTTATAAAGGTTTAACACAAGTAAATATACATGCGCCAGTTTACCCACAGCACACAAACAACTATTCAAAATAAAAAGACAAAACTTGTGTAACATAAACACTCGGTGGGTCTCTATTAATAAGGCTGAAAAGTAGCCAGATAGGCCAGTAAGGAATGGCTGAATTTAAATTCCCGTCCACGATGAAAAACTTATATCTGTTTACACTCGGATGGTACGGTACACTACGCTAACTCGATTTCCAATTTTCGAAAATATAGAAATAGCAAAACCTGAAACTCAGGCATAAAAACCTGACACGCGGAACACAGATCGCCGAATAGATTGCGTAATCAGTACCTATTCATGTGTGACATTGTGGAATTTAGGAGGGGATGGGAATGTAGATCCTTTCATGGGATCTACATTTATCCCGATGGAGTGGAAAGCCGATAAAAAGACTAAATCATATGATATAGCTTTTACGTTTTTTTAATTTTATTTTAAGTGATGCTCGCCTTCCAGTTATCTCTGCATTTCGTTTGTCTGTCTACTTTTTGTGCCGTTTTGTTTTTATGTCAGAGTAGCCTACTGAAATAGGGTAGGATAGGTGGGGATTTACATATTCATCCCGGGGAGGAAAAAGCCGATAAGACGGCTTAATTATAGGACGAACCACGGCCTCTCGTCCGGTTACCAGTCCAGGTTGGCTATTGGATTAGTTAGCCAGTTATTTGTTTTCGGAAGCATGGACTTGATGGTGGAGGAAGCCGGTTAATGTAAATGTAAATAAATGATTGATTGATCAAGCGAAGCATGGCCTATCGTCCGGTTACTAGTCCATGTCGAGTATGTAAGCAGTTGGCCAGATGTTTGTTCTCGGAAGCATGGACTTGATGGTGGGGGAGATCGTAACCGATAGGGCGGCGGAGAGTACAGCAATTAATCCTCTCGCACCTAATTACCCTACGTGGATTCGAACCTGCGAACCCACGTAGGGTAATTAGAGGTGCGGTGGCGAAGCGTGTTTTTCTAACGCAGGGTTTCCCAACCCGAGTCCGCGGTCTCAAATGAGTCCGCGAAGCGTTTGAATGAGTCCGCAACGAGCCAGAAATTCACTGCGGGTCGCAAACGTTTTTGCGAAACTAACTATCAGCCAAGTTACGATTTACGTTAGAATTTACATAAAACATAAAAGACAAGTTTATTCACATAACATTTCGAGTCAATAATCACTGGTTAATGAGTAGGACAGTGCATATATTCGAATATTCAACTATTAGAATAGTAATTTTCTATTCGAAAATTTGGTAACAGGTGACGAAAACACCTTCCAACGTAAACACGAGTCTGCTCACGCTTCGATAGAGTTCGCGAGTTGGAACAACGAAGAATAATTCTTTTTTGGTAGGTGTCAATGGTGGCAACGCAAATTTTCTAAATTGAAAAGCGGCAATACAAAACACTAAAATTAAACGGTTAACACCATCAGTTTTGTTTTATGATTATCCACGACCGATTAAAAACGCTTTTTTAGACATTGCAAATCGCCAAATTTCGGGTGCTACCGTGGTATACGTACCAGGGCATTTACCTTAGGATTCTTTGCCTTAGTCTCCACATTGGTACATACAGTACTGGAGCGCCGTAAGTGTTGTACGAACTACGAACAGCTCAGATTTGTCGAATTCACAAAAATACAAATCAAAACAAAATATAATCGGGCACTTTACCATATTGATATTTTCTGTTTAGTATTGTTTTTATTTCGTCAACACAATTGCATATTAAAATCATCACAATTAACTTAATAGTAAAGCAAGGTGATGAATATGTATTTTTGATTTACTAATAAACTTTAAATATATTTTAAGTGCTAAATCAAGTTGTACTATCTGGAACTTTACAGCAGAAAGTAGAATTTTTCTAACGGCGATACCAAATTCTCGAGATCGCAAAAACTACGTATCAAAACTAAATATAATCGGGCAATATATTCTCACCTTATTATGTTCGCAGATTGCCGTGGCATTTTAAAGAAGTAATGTGTTCAACTTGTCGTAAGTCGACGCAACGGCGAGTTACCACCATGAACACAATAAATTAGAATAGAAAGACATTTTAAATTCTCGTCGTTGTCATGGACTGAATATTGTGCGACAGAAACGGCCATTATACACTAAAAAGTCGGCTCTTTTAACGAACGCGTAAATGCGGCGAATTTCCGATTTTGAAATTTTATGTTATGTTCGGTTTTATTGCTTCTTCACAAAAAGTACGGTTGCAATAAATGCTCCTTAAGTTCGCAAAGGTTTTCGCCAGTGAGAAAACAGTCCGCGACCAAGAAAGGTTGGGAAACGCTGCTCTAACGCTTAGCACGATGCACACATAGGCTACTTGTTTCAGATGCATGGACTCGTTTCGGGTTCACGACAGCGGGGTGGACTCGTTTCGGGTTTACATAAGATGATATTTTCATATTTATCTCGCGGAAAGGAGGCCAGGGTAAGACAGCTTCGTTACGTGTTCGATAGATAACATATTCAATAATGAAATGAGGAGAACGAAATGTAAAACATACGTTTGCATCTAGCGTTATTTTAATTGAAAAAAAATTGAAAGGTTTACCGCCATTTGTATCAAATTTCCGCTAATTTCTATATATTGTCTCTTTCAAGGGAAATATAATTTCAATGTAAGTGAATGGCACAATAAAATTATCGGCAACATACAATACAATAATTAAATATGCTTCGACACATATTGACAATAGTGAATACATCTGAACAACACTTCCTATGTAATTGAATGAAAGAATAAAATTATCGGCAATACAATGTCTTAAAAGAATTGAATAGGACAGATTCCGGTTCTGCATATGGTAGACTAGAGTCTAGACCAGACATGAGCAAAGTACAGCCCGCGGGCCAAATCCGGCCCATTGGTTGATTCAATAGGGCCCGCCTGATGCTGCCACAACCAAACTAAAACCAAATTTCGAAATAGCTCAAGGAATTTGTTGAGATCGCGATCCAATTGAGTTTTGTCACGAGGCTCATTATTTTTTACTTAAGTACTTACTTATATACTTGAGTTTTACTTAAGTATGGTCTTGTGTATACTTCCCGTCTTCAATGTTGATATTTACTAACTCCTGTGTTTTTGCTTTTACGAGACGAATAAACATACATACATACAAACACTGTAAATAGTTTTCGTAACGTGTAACTTTTACGTCACACTTACATGGCCAGCCAGTCTAGGTGGCCCCTGGTCCTAAAACCGTGAAATTTCCGCTTTTTGTTTTTATGTCCTGGTGTTAAAATACACGTGAAAGCGCATCCAAATTTTTAGACGTTCTAAATGAAAGGCATTATTAAAACATAGCATCGATCTTTTAAAATAATATATATATATGTATAGGCGGAATCTAGTTCGAACAGGATATTGCTAGATTTTTTTTAAATATCAATTTCCATACCCGACATGTACCGAGAACCCGACTTAGGTAACAGGGCATTCGAATGGAGATTGGCATCATAAATCCAAGCCTATTCCTAATCAGCTGTCTATATGTCCGCCCAATATCCTCCACAATATTTTGGACCTTATATCCACCCCATTACTCCACCACTGTTTATATTCTATAGTTCTACAAAATGGACCAGTATCACAACTAAGTTGCCATTTGCAGAGCAAAGCACTTTCAACTAGGATGGGATTATGCATATTATTTAGTCGAATAAGACGGCTTAATCTTATATCAAACCACGGCTTCTTGTCCGGTTACCAGACCATGCCGGGTATGGGATTAGTTAGTCCGTTATTTTTCAGGTGCATGGACTTGTTTGATGGTAGAGGAAGCCGTAACCGACCAGCGGTGACGTGAACCACCCTACGTCGACGGGGAGTTCAGCAATTGTTACCCACCGCGGAATTGGAATCTGCGAACCCACGCAAGTGGATCAAAGGTGCGTTGGTGAGCGCAGTGACGTAGCAAGGCTCTCGTACCCCCCCCCCCCCCCCCCCCCCCCGCAAAAATATTTCGTGGAAATGACCTTAAAAACTCTTGAACATAAGCTAAAACAACGCTTTTTTATTTCGTCAAAAAGCATAACATGTCGCTATTAAAAGGCAATGGTAATCTAAAATTTGCCGTTTATCTTGGTTACTTTGATTTTTTCATACGTGCTTCCTCTTCTGCCCTTTTTCTGCGTTTCTGTGCGCCACTGAGAGGTTTTGCTCTCGACACCATTCTGACAGCCTTCGTAATTTTGCCGGTGCGATCAAACCACGACACGCCGAAAATCGACGACTCCCTGGCATTGTTACGTAACAAAACGATTTGAGCAGAACTAACCTTAACGTAATAAGATGTGCATTACTGGTTTTGCAATGCAGCTTTTGGTTTTGCGGCCTAAATTTCTAAATTCTAACCGCTTGGGCCCCTTTGTGCTGTGGGCCCTCCCGCGACCGTGGGGGTTGAGGGGGTGGATGCTACGCCACTGGGTGAGCGTCTTCTTAACGATGCACGATGCGCTACACCAGGGGTTCTCAAACTTTTGGTGTTGCGGAGCCCTTAAAAAGGTTGACTATTATTCACGGAGCCCCAGAATAATGTTAAAATTGATACTTTCCGATTAATATTCCTGAGTAAGTTAAACGTACTTTACTCAATTTATATACTAAACCCTTTTAATAAGGTTAATACAAGTCATAAATAAATCTAAATTTCAAAGATAAGTTGTATATACTGAAGCTGTAAATTTGGCACATGACAAACATATTAATAAATTAGGGGTTGAATCTTTTCCCCTCTTGACATTTTTGGAAGACTTAAAAGACTTAAACCTCAAACATCTTTACGCAGGTGTTTATTCTCCCTGAATCAAAATTTCCTTCGTCATATACATGTATTGTTCCATAATGACGACGATAATTGCTTTTTCGTTCTCGTGGGGAATTATGAGTTCAATGTGAAAAACATGTAACCATATTATAATCATCGCCGACCAAATGCTAAAAATAATAGTTAATAAAGAGGTAAATCGGCAATTCAAATTTCTTGATTAAAAAGCGGCATTCTAAAATATTAGAACCAAACTCAAAATGGAAGATAGCACTATAAGTTTTGTTTCAGCAGACTCACGTGAGAAAAAAACGCTCTTATAGACATTGTAAATCACAAAATTTGGTGTTATGTTAGGTTTTCTTCGGTTATGCATTGTAGTAACTGCGAAATTGAAACACAGTCAATTAATTATGCGCGCGATGTACCATTTTTCCATTCTGAAACTACCGACGGAGCCGCATGCGCTAAAATAAATTTCAATCGTTCGTATTTTTCCAAGACCTTGTGATTTTTCAAACGGCGATATCTTGCTTAAAAATAATATCGAGTGCGAAAGAAAAAATCAAGTTTAACAAATCCCAAGATCGCAAAAATACGACTCCAATTTATTTGTAGTTGGCAGTTTATGTTATTTTAGAATAGTATTTTTTCATTTTAGTAATCCTAACACTAACAGTAATCTCGAATCGAACGTGAGTAACGATGAGCACAATTAAATTATTACGATAAGATACTTCAAATGCTCGCATCGGACATGAATTGAATATTTTACGCAACAGAAATCTCGTTATCCGTTTTTTTTTGAATCGCCAAGAATGTTACGCGTAAATTTCCGATTCCAATTTTTAACCTCCTCCCTCTTAAGAATCCTGGCTGCGCTCCTGCTTATAAATAATGTCATTTTTTAATTCCGCCACTTTGCCATATTTCTAGGCTATATTGTTGTCAAATTTTATTAAAGCTGTTACTGCTTCTAGGAATAGTTTTAAATTAGCCAAGTCGGTATTTTAAAAAGTAATAGAATAGCTCGCGGAGCCCCTGGGTTTATCTCGCGGAGCCCTGGGGCTCCGTACGGAGCACTTTAAGAACCTATGCGCTACACCACCAAGTATATGAGATAGCATAATTATTTTTCTCGCATCTTTTTTTCCCTTTTATCATTGAAAGATGTAAGTTTGAGTTTAAATGCACCGGTCCAATATTAAAACATATATCAATTTGATTATTCATCTCCTGACTTTAAACGCGTTAGCGCTTATACCAAATTTTCTTCCATGATTGTCGTTTTAGCACAATATGTAAAACATACGTTTGTATCTAGCATTATCTTAATTAGAAAAATCGAAAGCGTTTCCGCCATTTGTATCTAATTTCGGCTAATTTCTATATATTGTCACTTTCAATTGAAATAATATATATATCAATGTAAGTGAATTAAACAATAAAATATCGGTAACATATAAAACAAGAATTAAAATTGCTTTGGCACATCTTGACAATAGTGAATACATCTGAACAACACTTCCTATGTAATTGAATGAAAGAATAAAATTATCGGCAATACAATGTCTTAACAGAATTGAATAGGACAGATTCCGGTTCTGCATATGCTAGACTAGAGTCTAGACCAGTGCTTCGCAACCGGTGTGTCGCGGCGCACCGGTGTGCCGCGAGACGATGCCAGGTGTGCCGCACAAGAATTGCAACTTTTCTCTTCTTTTTACAATTTTGTTTTATCCTTCGTTAATTTTACGTTAGTCTACTACTCTACACTACTAACGTAAAGTTAACCTGCTTTTACGTTAGCTTGAGCGACACCAATTCAAATTCCTGACTCCCCCACTGTGCATTTGTGACGTAACAAGGAATAGGCCTATATGTCAAGCAGATATATTGTAAAGCCTATTGTCGATGCTAAAACATAGCACGTGTAGTCGTGTAGTAATCGAATATAAATAAAACTTGAGCTTAACGAAAGAATTACCCCTGCGTGTTCGAGAAAATTTCTTTGAAGTAAGGAATGACAGAACGCTAAGACTGAAATTCAGCGAAATTCCACTTGATGTGTTTTGGATTTCAATAAAAGAAGAATATAAACATATTTCTAATGCAGCTATTGAAATATTGCCCTAGTTTTGCACAACTTATGTGTGCGAACAAAGCTTTTCCTCTTTATTAATGATCAAATACAATAAACGATCCTGTATGAAAAATGATGTTGACGGCAAACTTCGAGTTGCTCTTTCACGTATTTTGCTCATTAAAACAACCACAAATCTCTCATTGAAATATTAACATAAAACAAAATTACACAGTTTCGTTTCTTGTGGTGTGCCGTCGAATTTGGCAAGATTTATAAGTGTGCCGCAAGTTAAAAAAGGTTGCGGAGCACTGGCTAGACCAGACATGAGCAAAGTACGACCCGCGGGCCAAATCCGGCCCGTTGGTTGATTCAATCTGGCCCGCCTGATGCTGCCACAACCAAACTAAAACCAAATTTTGATGTTTTAGTTGAAAATAGCTCAAGGAAATTTTTGAAATTGCAATTAAATTTAGTTTTGGCACGTGGCCTATTATTTTTCAAGTTTGCTTTGTAACACTTTGTAACACTCTTTACTTCACAATTACACAACCCGCCAGTCTAGATGGGCAAAATGTTTGGTTCCTGGTTCCAAAACCTTGCCTCCCAGTTAATTGAGTTGCCATTTGCAAACAACGAGCTTTCAAGTAGGATAGGATTTACATATTTATCCCGGGGGAGAGAAAAGCCTATAAGACGGCTTGATCGTATGGCGAACCACGGCCTCTCGCCCGGTTACCGTTCCATGTCGGGTATGGGATTAGTTATTTGTTTTCAGTTGCATGGACTTGATGGTGGGGGAAACCGTAACCCACCAGCGGTGACGTGAACCACACTACGGCGGCGAGGAATTCAGCAATCTCGCACATAATTATCCACCGCGGATTTATAACCTGTGAACCCACGCCCAGTCTGTTATTAAATATATATAAATTTGTTTTTTTTTTATCTCCGGCCTATAAACGCGTTAGCGCTTTTACCCAACTCTTATTTATGATTGACGTCCTACCATGGTACAATAAAAATCGAATGCATTGTAATGTAACACATATGGAATTGAATTCTATAGATTTCATTTTCAACATTCACTATTTAATTCAACAATAGTAAGCAATCGGAGACGAAGATGATATCATAATTGTGTTCTCCTATTGTACTACAACACCTTATTCTCCTTACAATAGAAGAATACCTTTCCAATTTTCCTGTTGAAAATCCATAAAATGTGAGAGCATGAGACACTTGGCATCAACTCAAAGAAGAAGTATCGAGAAACGAAAGACAGTTACGAAGGTAAACGTGCCGGTATGTGAATCTTCTCTCTGTAGAATAAAATTTTACTAGATTAAAAAGATCCACTGCCCACTTCAGCAAACCAAAATTACTATACTGTAGGCGGGGACGTGGCAAACTTTTGGTTGCTCCTATGGTGTGTGTACCAGGTTAGGGTTAGGCCAGCGGTTCTCAAAAGGTGCGCCGCGACGCACTAGTGCGCCGTGACGGTTTGCTAGGTGCGCCGCGAAAATTAACAGAATTGTGATAAACTTAACTGAAATATGATCGAATATTCTACAAGATGTATTTATTTGAAATGTTTAATTGTTTCTTCTTCCGAATGCTGTGTATATAAATCAATAAATTCATTTCACTTTTCTATGTCGTTTATTTTTTGTTACTTAATGTCTGCCTCTATTGTTACGTAACAATATAGGAAACCACTATTTGCTGGAATTTTGTGATCTGCAGTCCATTTATCTGCTGAATCGAGTTTAGCGAAAATGAGTGTTTTTTTAGCATTTCAAATGATATTGCATAGACCCATATGTGTACTAACTTCAAAAGGCATTAACGATCACAAAATTGAGTTTTGTTGGAAAGCAGCATTTTTTGTCGTGTAAGTGCGCCGTGAGTTTTATCCCTGGTTAAATGGCGCACATACTTCAAAAGCTCCAATTGTTTTTAGTTTAAAAAAATAACATGCAGTATTTATATTAATTATAGATGTTGGGTAAAAAACCCTGAACACCCAATCGAGTCAAAGACTGATCGAAGTCACACTGGCGACTAGTTTTATTTAAACTCGAATCAGTTTTAGTCTCACATGAGTGTTGACTCGTGTCCGAGTCGATATTGCGCTAACCCAACATTGGGGTCTTGCGAAGTGAACGCCGTAAACTGCTTAAATACTGCCAAACAAAAACGTGATGTGAGAATACAACCCAAATCTTCATTTTTCAAAATAAAAGTTCGTCTTGCGCGAACACAATTCCCAATTTGAATTTAATTTCCCAAAATTAAGAGGGTTCGATTTGAACTTGACGAGTTTTTCATGAATTTCTTTATGCGTCATACAGACTTTTTGGCGCTCCCATAGTATGTGTATCAAAATGGTGCACAACCTGATAACCCTAACTGGGTACACATACTATGTTCAGGTTGTGCGACATCTTTGTGCAGATACTACGGGAGCAACGACTTTTTTAATTGCATTAAAATTTCACATTGCATTTTTGTCTGGCGTTATTTAAGCAGTTACGGCGTTCACTTCGCCAGACCACAATACCCAATATTATATCCGTCCCTTCTATTTGAACTTTCAGAAAATACAACAACAACAAGATGAAAATCGCCTTCATATTCGTTCTGTTCTTGTCTCTTGCATTCGTGGATGATTCCATAGCCTGGGGTAGATTCATTAAAAGGGTTGGCAGAGTGATCAAAAAGGTGGTTCATAAAGTAAAACCGTATGTGCCACATATAAAGACAGGCATTAAGTGAGTATGAGATTATTAAGCCTTCTGTGAATTTTATATCCTTTGCTCATGTAAGTCATCTGTAATTGACTATTGAGGTAAATTATCTCCGAAGTGAAAATCTTCGAATTCAGTCGCAATTCTCGTGGTAGTGATCGGAGTCCAAATTGTCAAAGAAAACAAAAACATAATAAATTGATTAAGCCTTCTCAACAGACAATTCAGTTGTAAATTTCTTCCTACTTCATAGCCGCGGTTTGCAGTCTCGGAGTAAACTTGCAAAAAAAAGCAAAGAAAACTTTATTGATGCTTGAATATGCGATAACGGAACGAGAATTGGTGTTGTCGAAAAGGTCGCTTCCTCCACAACTAAGTGACCAATCAATTTTAAATTTTTAGTAATTAAAGGTGGAAAAAGTATAGATTGTCCATAAAGTCTAAAATTGCAAAGAGAATTTATTGATACCATAAATTGTTTTGGTCCTCACAGATGTATTGAATGAAGTGAAAAACTTAAATATTTACTGAATAAAAACAACAAACCTGGTCAAGATATATTGAGAACTGACTTAATAGCAAAATTGAAAAGGGACTTTACGGATACCCCGTATATCTAGCCTAGAGGGCCCTTTTACCTCCACAATTAGCTTCAACTTACTGATTTTATATATTTGACCATGTGGCGTCGTCACGTGGCATTACGACTGACACGCCTCCCATCTCTTCGACTAAATCGATGCTCAGTTAAATAAGTCGTTGTAGCTTAATGAAGTTCATTTTTTACACAGGTGTGCAAAAGCAGTAGCCGGATTGGTCGGAGATCAAGATTTAAAGGAATTGAGGAGAATCAAAGCTATGGTAAGCTGAACATAAGGCATGGGATATGCCATTACTATGGCTGGGCATTTCGAATCGAATAGTAAAAAATCGAATCCAACGGGGATTACGAATTGCCGCCATCTGAGGGGAATCCCTCAATTTTTTATATTCATATCGTATTTTTAAAATGCAATTCTGAGATGTGATTCTTCTCTTCCAAGTGAGTTATTGGTGGAACATGTTTTTACTGTGTGTTGTGTTGACACTCAGAGAGCTGTCTGAAATATAGATTACGTGTTTTCACTAATTTATGTGTCTTAAGAACCCATCACAATAAAAAGTACTCCCGTAGTATGTGAACCAAGATGGCGAACACCGTAACGTAGTATGTGTACCAGGTTAGGCCATCATTTTATTCCAATTTTCCTTATTTTAGTTTATTACGAGTTCGGGGACTAGCCAGCTAACTCCCGTAGTATTTGTACCTGAAATTATCAGTAACCTGGTACTGATAATACGGTCCGGTGTCCGCCATCTTGGTTCACATGCTACGGGAGTGCCGATTAAAATAGTCGATGCAACTACATATCTTCTCATGTATTCGAAATTTGCTTTAAAAAAAATATTCGATTCGATTCTGAAATCGTCAGATATTCGAAAATCCCAGCCCTATTCATCACCCAATTAATTAGAGCTTCCTCCACCATCAAGTTCATGTAACAATTAAATAACTGATTGACTAATCCCATACCCGACATAAATTAGTAATAAGAGGTTCGCCATATCATTAATCCGTCTTATCGGCTTTCCTCTCTCCCGAGATAAATATGAATATGATATCCTGTTCAATTTACGCGTACCGAGTATCGTGGTCTTTCCTGCGTTCCCATTAACTCACTACGAAATGCCATTAAAGAGCCAACCCGAATTTTCGGCGCTCCAGAAGTATGTGTACCAATATTGTGGTAACTAATTTTTTCGCTTTTTTACATCAAGTTTGTGTAAAGGGACGGAAGCCTATGGGCAGGGGTATATTTACTTGGCTAACAAAGACAGTCCCGAACTCGCAATAGAACTAAAATAAGAAAAATCGGAATAAAATTATGACCTAAGCCTAACCTGGTACATATATACTACGGGAGTAACGAATTCTCTTCCAAACCGATTTAAATTATACACGAAAGAATTCAATGTTCCCATTGTACTCACTTAGTGTTCCCTTTTTCTTCAAGGACGAAGCGGAATACCAGCTTGTGAGATCACTATTAGCTGACGAAATCGCCTCCCAGAAAGGAGAGAATGCTGAAATGATCGAGAAAGGACTGGATGCGATTGTGGACATGTCGGAAGGTAAATGGTTGGACCTATGTTCCCATTTTTGTTAATTATATTGATGGAAGACTTGTACCGACTGTCATATAAAGGTGTGCCCGTAGAATATAAACATCAACACGATTGATTTCGGGTAGAACTGATAGAAGGGGAAATATTGGATCAATAGCTCCAATTTTATTGATTTTCACTGCAACCGAAATGTCAAAAAATTGTTAAACGAAATGTACCGAATTTTTAATAATGTGTCTGTAAATTATAAAACCAACAATAAATCAGAGTAAAATATCGGCGCCAAGTCGACTATCTCTACATAGACGTAGCCCAAGGTAGAGCCTCCCCCTTTAAGTTTAGGCTGTTGATGGGCGCTAGATGCTTCCAGTCACTACTTTCCGGTTTTCTTATTGGCCCTTTCTGTTGCCTTGGTTTGATTTCACATTCCCGCAATTTTTGGTATAGTTTCTTTGATAAGTAACCCCCTCTCCTCCTCCAAAAAACAGACGTTTACTGGCTTGTTATTAATAATCCTTTCATTAAATGAACCAAACGATATAGAATAAAATGTAGGCTTATGCACCTCGGATAACTTTGACAGCGAAGTAAGTCTTTAATGCGATTGTTAAAGATTTTGTTAAATATCAGTGTCTACTTTTATCTGGCTGTTCACCCCACCCAAATCCCCCCCAATCCAATTTCGGACTGATTACGCTCTTTTTAATTTCTATTTATAAGTAATGGAAATTGGGCCATTACTTGCCGAGAAAACAGATTTTTCAAAGCTGCAACAATAACGAAAAATACGATCATATGCTACTTCGTGCCCATAAGCTGCCAAGTTGTCGTCAAATTAACTAATGCCTGACCCTGACATTCAAATGGGCTCTTTTAATATGCCAGCGATTTTTGATTTTCCATAACTTATTTGTTTTCATTTACAGGACAATTCCAACAACTCATGACTGATCAGAGAAACGAGAATTACGAAGTCGAGCTGTTCCAGTAGGCGATGTACTAATTGCCGGAACGACCACAAAGACCGAACATTACATTTTATTGCTTTTTTTTATTTACAACAGAAACTTGCACAAATAAAATCCAAAAAAATTGTGGCGCCATAATATGCGAGTATTATTCTAAGCTAGTTTTGGATTAGTTAAGAACCTGACAAAAATGGGCGTGATGTGGGTGTGGCGACCTACTTGTTAATGGTTAACGTATGGTTCATACTGTATATCATTACTATGATATAACAATTTCGCTCTTTATCTGAATTAGTGAAGTGTACGCCACTCAGTGGTTAATCGGCTGCCTCCGTTAAAACAACTCTGTATTAATGTTAAATAAAAAAGACGGTATTTCCGGACACCGGAACGTAGTATGTGTACCAGGTTAGGGTTAGGTCGTAATTTTATTTCAATTTTCCGTATTTTGGTTCTATTACGAGTTTGTGTTAGTGAATATACCCGATGCCCATAGGTTTGGGGATTAGCCACGTGACTCCCGTAGTATTTGTACCTGGAATCATTGCCTGACCCTGACCTGCTACACATACTACGACACAACGTGTCCGCCATATTGGTTCGCATACTACAGGAGTACCAAAAATACATATGACTACCGCATACCCGGGATATTTAGGTCCACCGGCAACTATGATTCGACTATTAAACGAAAAATAAAAATTGTGTAGAATATAAGCTAACTGATGAGAAAAGTAGTGTCCATTAACTGTAAATTGCCTTTCAAATTATCTTTCTTTTTTAACTTTAATTGTTTTAACCGATGACGAATTTCCTTCTGAAAGAAACATGACTTGTGTCGCTGTGATGTATTATACTTCGTTAGCATAATTGAGTCATAGCTGTCAAAGTAAATTAAGCGATGCAATGAGCTTGTAATAAAGAGAAATGTGTTCGAGAAACTTGATTTCTATCTCTAGCTTGTAATAAAAAGTTAGGGTTAGGATAGGATTTTATATTTATCTCTGAAGAAAGAAAAGTCGATTAGACAGAAAGTCAATGAATATTGTCGCTTTGCATGTCTCTTTGTACCTGTAGTCTTATTTAGTAGATACTAAACTCAAATTTTCATAAATTTAGCAATTTTTATTGCATTCCAATGGGTATTTCATGTGATGGAACATGCATAAATTGCGATGGGTTTGTTGTCGCTTTGCATGTCTTTTTATACATCAGTAGTCCTATTTATTAGACACTGAACTTAAATTTTCATAAATTTAGAAATTTTCATTGCATTCCAATGGGTATTTCATGGGATGGAACATGCATAAATTGCGATGGGTTGGTACAAAAAAATACGTCTTCAAGTACGGAGCTCAAGCAAGCTTAAAGGGTCGGTAAAATGCATTTTTCACTCTATTATACATAGCAATTTTTTGTAGCTCGGAACGCTTTTAAGACCTTTAAGACTCGTGAAAACCTACGTTTGCCATCCGGTCGGACCCGCTATCTTGTACAACCTAACTTGGCAATTAGAAATTACAGAACCTCACCTTCAATATTTTTCTTGCTACGTCCCTGCTCACATAAACCTGAAAATGTAATTCGAAGAAAAAAAAACATCGTCAAATCATCTGACTTCGCCGACAAAATTTTATTTTGTATTATTAACTTACGTTAGTAGATTATACTTGAGGTTTAGTTTTCTAAGATGACGAGAAGATGTTGAAACATTTTCGGTTTGATGATTGCAAAAATGGAGATTTCTACTTATTACAGGAACGTTGGTGGTGGTATAGCAAACGAACCCAGGGTTGTGAAGTCGGATTTGGGAGTTAGACATTTTTTCATTGAACTTGTATTCTATTGGAGTTCAGACAAAGAAAGATTTTCAAAAAAAAAATTGAGTTGACTGAACGCCTCTTGCGGTGTGTTAGACAGTGATAGCATATGCTGGGACATGTGTAAGGGGGCATAGGGTAGTCGTCCCGGGAAGCACGTTGTGCGCGTGCGTTCGTTGCTCTGTTTAAAAATATTTATTTTTATGTATGACAACATCTAGAATTTGCTTAATCCCCAAATGAGTAAATTTTATTTGAGATTCAATTTTCTAAGATGGCGACCAGCTGTGGTTATGAATTCAAGTTGAAACACTTTGGATTTGATGATTGCACAAAGAGAGAGTTCTACCTATCACAGGTACGTTAGTAAGTTGGATACATGAGGCAACAAAAGTTGGCTACAATATTGTCCGTGCTCCTGTAGTATGTGCACCAAGATGGCGCACAACCTGAACATACTATGTGTACCAGGTTAGGATTGTACGCCATCTTGGTGCACATACTACGGGAGGGCCAAATTTTCTTAACTTAAATTTTAAACTCATCTATTAAATATCTCTCTCGCAACAATAACTCACATGTATCTAGTTTCTTTTGGTATTCTTTCCACTTTTTAATTGTCTCGCAAAGACAAATCTCCTTCAATGATTATAATTTTATCGGCATGGGTGGTGGCTTGAAAATTTTCCATCAATATTTTTTCTAATTTTTGCGAATCTACTTTAAGCAAACTGGAAGAAATAATATATATAAAATTATATGATTTTTTTAAAATGATCGACCAGGCGACTCGTGGATGCTACCATCTGATATCTCGAACAGGGATAGGTTAGGGTTAAGGTATTGGATTGTTTGGATATGAATGCGAGTTTCACAGGCCATCGCAAAATGGATGTTTTTTCGTAGAGTATGTTCCCCAGCCTTTCATTTTAAGGGGGTGTTACGAAATTTAGGCGGTGGTAAATATTTTGCGATAAAACTATTTAAAATGTGTTATGTATTTGGCAGACGATATACATTGATAAATATGCCATAATTTATATATTTGAATGTAATTATACTTAGTGAGAAAGCATAGTGTGTTATGACACCTCAAATGAGGGGTATAAAATTTAGGGAGAAGGGAATTCACCCGCTGTAAGTGAAGCCGTAGCCCTGTTCACAGTCACAAGATGGATTGAAACTTACATTCTCTCTAACCCTGTTTAAAAATACATTCCCAGTGGGGTCGTTCGAAGATCATTTTCATTGTCTACCGGATCATTCTGTTTCTATACTGGACGGGATGGGTTATCTTCGGAACGATCGAATACTCGGGACACGAAAGAGGTTGGGCATACTACGTTTTCCTCTCCCACTGGGACGAATGGCTGATGGTCTTCAATTTTGGAATATCATTGTCTGTTGCAATATATGGATACTCTCAATTAGACGAACATGATTCAGGTAATTCAATTTATTACAATATTGCCCAGCAGCGTTGGACGACTCAAGTCGCCGATTCGGCGCGGACTCAAGTAACCACAAGAGCGTACCAAGTCTAAAAGTTGGGCAAGTGTTTTAGTATAATGACGTAATAATATTCTGTGTTGGTTTACCGGGTCAAATATCTTAATTTCCAATCCCGGTCGATACACCAAATCTGGATGATAATAAAATTGTCAGTCCGGAATAATAACCTGCCCGAACCTTTTAAATTTCACCACTCATCAATATCATTTACTTATTTCTAGGTGGTCTTCGCTGGTTCCATAAATTATCATGGGCAACTCGGTCTGTCAGCACCACCGTTGCTTACGTAGTCACCATCTTATTCTGGGCTTTGGTGAAAACAACGGCGAAGGCTTCAACCGCAGTCAACATACATCGCCACGCACTGAACGCGGTGTTCGTCACAGTCGATCTTTTTGTGAGCAGAGTCCCAGTCAGGCTTCTTCATTTCGTATATCCAATGCTAATAGGAATAACCTATGTTTTATTCACATACATAATTCATGCTGCCGATGTGATGTCTTCTTTCTATAGAAACGCTCTAGACTGGGAAAAAGTGCCGGTAACTTCAATCGTTCTTTGCATCCTGGCTGTTTTGGTCGCAGTTCCGTTGCTACACAGTTTGACCTTTGGCATGTACCACTTGAGGGCGTTTATTGCCAGGCGCATAGCAACCAGTAGTCAAATCAAAGAACTAACTGGAACCTCAAATCAAGCTTTTGAAACTGAAGTTATATAGAAGATATTGGATAAATTATTACTATAACAGTCGTTCTACATTATAAGTTAAAGCAACATTCAGTCACTAGTCAATAGTTTATATTTTCACGTACCGAAAAAACGAAAGTGTACAAAATAATGGATTTGAGAGTGAATAGCGACGCGATGAACTAGTAACGGTTATCCAGCAGCGTCACTTATGTGGGAGTCTAACATTGAATCATACAAAGAAAAAAAAGTCGAACAATATTTACTAACAGAAGCCTGCCTTTTAAGTACGTTTAAGCGTTTACTGGTGTTTCTCCAGGCATGACTGGCGTTGCAACGAAAAACAATTCACCTAACGAACATTAGGACGCTGAACATTGAGTACTTATGAGTAGGGCTGGGCATTTCGAATCGAATTATAAATTATTCGAATCAGTTTAAAGCTAAATTTCGAATTGCCGCCATCTTGTTTTTATCTTTCCGCCAATGGTCGAGGTGAATTCCCAAATTTTTATTTCATTGGAGTCATATTTTTTAAACGAAATTCTAACATATGACTATTTTCTGTATGGAGTTATTGATAAAACGTGTTTGTTATTCTGTGTGAACGCTCAGCAATCTGCCTGAGTGATGTATTCTATGTCTTCAGTAAATCATTTGATGAGAGGACCAATTACTATAATAAAGTCACTTAAAATTATATATTTTCAAGTATTCGAGATTCGATTCGATTCGAAAAAATTATTCGATTCGATTCTGAAATCACAAGGTATTCGAAAATGCCCATCCCTACTCATGAGTCAATGAATTTGTAATGTACACTTCGTTGATTAATATTAAATCAACAAGGCATAATCTTAGACTTTTAAACGACTTTATTGTTTGAGTTTGCTAATATTTGAGTTGGTTAAAAATAGCGCACCGAATTTATTTCGATTTAAATCTCATATTTTTAAAGGTTTACATTTTTTAATTGGCGACATAATTTTCATCGTAAGCATACAAGTTTACCAAATGTGCAAAGGATAGCGATTCCCAACAGTAGGTGCACATACTGCGAAAGGTCAACATAAATTTTTTAAAAGTACAAATTTCTTGTACTACCCGCAAATTGTGACCGAAAACTGAATTGATTTCATCAACACGACGGTAGCGTTGTATTATTGGTTAATAACATTTCACTGTTGCTGATGACTAGGATTCCATGGATTATTGAAAAAGCGCAATTTTATATAAAATTATCTATTCTCAATATTTATGCCTAAGCTTGTATTACAGTGTTTTACTTCGAATGCAGCCCGAATTTTTCTATTACAGGGAGTCCTCGACTTACGACGTTGTTCCGTTCTTGAGAAGGGGTGAAACCCGAATTTCAGTGTAAATCGGAACATTATACTGTACTGTACAGTACATAAATTACTCTATACATATCGTACTGTATTGTAAAGTATGGTACAGTAATAAAATGTACAAATAATGCAAAAAGTACGATGTAAATGACGAAAACCAATGAGCCCAAAGCACTGATTTTCTTGATCACAATGATCTAGTTTAAGGGCTTAGATATTACAGTACAGTATTATCTTTTATATTTTTATGGAGTGCGTTCGTAACCTTGAAACAGCGTTATGGAGTGTGTTCGTGACCTCGAAACAGCGTTATGGAGTTCGCGTTCGTAACTTCGAAACAGCGTAAGTCGCGACCGTCGTAACCCGAGGACTCCCTGTAAATAATAATCAATATTTATACAATCCGTATGGCTTTATGCTGAATTCTTTTTTCGTATCATATTTAATGGTTGCCGCTGCTCAATAACCAAATATGGTTCCTCGCGGCTCCCCTCACTCTGAAATGCTTTTTAATTATTTATTGCAATTTTTACCTCAAGTGTGCTTTCAGTATGGTGAGAAAATAAACTGCTGATTAATATTTTACACATCCAAAATTTTTTTTATCGGACCAAGTATTTCACTCCTATGTTTCTATATAAAATGGACCATGGAATTAAGTCAAAGATGCTATATTTTCTATTATTTTGAAGGCAAAAGAGATTTCGATAACATAGTATCTAATGGTAAACCACATTTTCTTCGATAATGCAGTCCAGGAATACGCGAACTTACTTCGAACAGTAATTTAGGTTTACTCAGGGACATTAATCGGCAAATAACAATGTGTTTTTATTTTTTGTAAATTTATTGTGGGCTCCGTAAATAAGAGTCAATATCAAGTCAATAAAGACTGAGTTTATTATTATTTGATTTTTGAATGGAAAAGTGTTCTTACAATCGGACATGAAGTGTTTAAAATAACTCTGAGAGAAGTACGACATGAATTATTGGACATTTAGACGTGCTATGATCGTTTTTGTACTCAGTAACTGTTATCCAGCAGCGTCACTTATGAGGGAGTCTAACATTGAATCATACAATAAATGAATAAAATAAAAGTCGAACAATATTTACTAATAGAAGCCTGCCGACAGAAATTATTAGACATTCAGACGTACTATGATCGTTTTTGTAGTCCAAAAAAATCTAACTTTTGCGCTGATTTAAAGTACACCGGGGGTATTCTTTTTCTTGTTATTCAATATTAATGAATTCAAAGTCCCTTTCTTATGCGTTATGACCTGTATTAGAGAAAGTAAATGCGCCTTTAAACGGCCATTATGCCAGTCTTTTTTATTAGATCCAATTTTTGTACAACAGTACTAAATAAAAAAAAACAGTATTCAAAAAAGGGGTCATCAGCTCTCATAATAATATGAGTTGTACTCAAATAATTGGGGCAGGGCAATCTTCAATATCTTATGATTTCAGAGTCGAATCGAATATTTTTTTTTCGAATTGAATACTTGGAAAATATGTAGTTGTATCGGCCGGTTTAATTTAATGGTCCTTCAGACACATAAACCAGTGAAAACACGTAATCTACCACTCATCAATAAATCACTCGGAAGAAAAGAGTCTTTATTTCAGTGTTTCAAAAATTTGATATGAATAAAAAAATTGAGGTATTAACCTCAACCTGCAGACGTGGCTGTGCATCGAAATTCCCGTCTGAACCGATTCGAATAATTTACTGTTTGATTCGAAATGCCCAGCCCTACAAATAATATACGGGCACGAAAATTGAATGAAAATTGGGTCCTCTTGAAGTATACGCACCAAGATGTCGCGCAACCTGAACCCTAACCTGGTACACAACCTGAGTTCAGGTTTCCATTTTGGTGCGTATACTTCAGGAGGTCCGAAAATCGTGATGTCAGCAGAACTCCAGTCAAATGTTAAATGAACTGTCCGAATGTCATATAAACGTGTTCCGATAAATCATAAAAAACAATAAAATCTGGCCGCGTAGAAAATATTTGAAACACAAAAATAAATAAGAGTCTTCTAATGTCTTCTTTGTGTATTAAAAATTTGAAACCGATTTCTCCCTACCCCAATCAGCAATGATTCGACAGCAACTACTAGATAATTGAAGGGAGCGTCATAAACCCGGGAAGAACATACACTAAACTCCGGTTTTGAACTCCGAATCATTTAAAAACGACTTAATTCCGATTCCTGCTCTCGGCACCAGATCGAAGAAAATTTTGGTACCTGTACTCCAACAAAACCAAATTGTTATAATAAGGACTTTTGTCTGTTGAGAATGCTTTGATGCTTCTTCCAGATTGATGCTTCTTGAGTTCCTGTCGGAAATTTTAAATTCGGAGAAATATTACGGGGTCAAATATTGTTTATAGCAAAATTTTTTTAATCATGTTATTGAATGCGAAAGTCAACTACTTCTCTTTAAACGTTTATGACGTCACATCTGATGACAACATCTTCGTTATCTATCCCCTTTTGAAATGAATTCTCGTTATTCGTTTACTTCTACACAATATCCTCTTCCAAAGCAGGATTAATTTCACTTCGAGTTGATGACGCTGTGTCGCTATGGCAACCACATTGGCGGGCAATTACCGCCTCAAATGGTAGAATCCGAATGCAACAACATGAAGTAAAGGTGACGCAATCAGAGTTACCCCAAATGCGACGCCAACTGAAATACCGGGAATTCTCTCCCAATCGAGCAAAGGATCATAGAAACGAGACCTCACTCCACCCAGATGTAGAAATAACGTGTATAGGGAATACGTAAGTCCAAATAATGATGCGTACACAAAATGAAGAAGCCGTATCGGCACTCTGTCCATGAATAAATCTAATGTTATTAAAATAGAATTCATTGCATGGCGATGGACATTGATACGAGGCGGGGATTTGCTTTCCAATCCAAACGCCCAAAATACGATGGTTATGAGATACGATACTGATACAGCTGATGTCCGAACAACCCAGCACAAATGATGGAACCAACGTAGATCACCTGAAAACAAGTGAGCAATGATCAAACGAGAATATCGGTCGGAGACCGAAGACTTTTCGATCGAAACTGCGGTTTCGATTCATGACTCTATGGTGACACCGCGTGTCCCATCACTAATTAATTAATACCTAGCTAATTATACGACAATACATCCAGAATCAACAGACTTCCGGTCCAAGATATGATGAGTGCACATGCAAAATTTGGAGCAGATACAACCTCGCCTTCGTGAGATATCGCGTTCATCTAACAGACAGACAAACAAACATACAAACAGACAAGTACTTATCAACATACTTACCGATCTTAAGATTGGTAGTAATAATTGGACAGGGAAGGTCGTGCATCAGTACCAGTGTTGCCAGATCCCAGTGGTAAAAAAAAGCCAAATCAAAACACAAAAAAGCCAACAAATTTATAATAAACCAGTACACACAATAGCTACGCAATGGGCTACTATTGCACACTAAATATTGTATTTTATATGATTTTAACCTAAAAACAAGAGAGTGATGGTCAAATATATGGACACGAAAGTCAAGCACTGGTACTGGTTTCATGAGGCCTGAGAGACCACCAAGTTGGCTGAAAACACCGATGGACAAATTAAATGGATTAAAAAGTGTTCCCCTTTGATTAAAGCAATACAGCAAAATACTAAAATACTCATAGCAAATTTAACCGAGATGAGTTTAAACTACCCACTGCACGACTCGCACAGTCGCTGATATACGAACCTAGCTGACAGCGCCAGTGATTAGTTGGAGAACTTGTGTCCTTACTTTCATCAAAGGCTCGGTCTGAGATTTCATTGAAATTAACATCCTAATAAATAAAATAAAACAGCAAAAACTTCACCTCTATTGCATGTATTCCGTATACAGCATATCTCGCCATTTGTCGGAGATTCTCTTGTAAAAAGCCATACAATGCAATCGCTAAAGTTATCCCGTAATACAGCACTTGCGTCCATTCGCCCAGTGTGAGAGATAGAACGGGTAACGAAATCCGACGTCTTTTAGATTTACGTAGTAAATGGTGCCGTATATAACCCAGCTAGTCCAGTAGATGAATATAAGTGCTTTGTAGACGACGAATAGTAGTCTGTTGGAGAACCACTAGAATAGGATGAAAACCTTGTAGTTATTATGAAGTGCGAGGCCCAAACGCGACATATATGGCCTTGTAAGGGATTCTCATGGGAACGCGTGTTTATGACATCGTGGTGGCTGTTTTGACTTTCTATGACATCGTGATAACTGGCACCGGTAGTCTACTGTGGCATATTTCACACACACAATACGTCGTTTTGGATAGTCTGTGTCCGGATGTTTGAGCATCGTTCTTTTGTTTGTAGGTTGTTTGCAATGTAGCTAGGAAATATAACGAGCCACGCTTTGAAAATGTAATGTTACGAATGCGCGAGAATGAAATGTTACTGCACAAATGGCCTGATGGTATCGTACAATGGCGCATCGGGACGTATGGTTAGGGCTGGGCATTTCGAATCGAATATGAAATTATTCGAATCGGTTCAGAGCAAAATTTCGAAACGCCGCCATCTTTTTTTCCGCCAATGGTCGAGGTAAATTTCTTAATTTTTTCTTTGAAAGCCATATTTTTTCAACGATATCCTAGCATACGACTCTTTTCTGTAGTGAGTTATTGATGAAAACATGTTTTTTATTGTGTGTAAATGCCCAGCCCTACGTATGGTAAGCCTGAAAAATGCCTACATGTATAAGAGAATTAGTACCTGAGACACATAGAAGTCTTCTGCAACGGCATCTGCAAAACCAAAATGCTTTTTTTGAAACTCATATCCACAGCTTGTTGCCATATTATTCCAAATCTCATTCCACTGTAGGTTTTTATTATAAGGACTAAAATAAAGAAAAAAAAACAAGAGAGCTATGCTCATGTAACCTTCTAACAAAAAAATACAATCTTAACCCCTGAAAATTTCATCAAAGCAAATGGTCCCGTAGTTAACGAGAAAAGCAATTTTTCATAATGATAAGAAGAAAAATACTAAGAACAACAACAACAACAACATAATATAAAACGATCCATAGGTCCACTTCGTGCCCAATTAAAAGAGCAATGCTTAAATATATGGACGCAAGTAGTACCGTTAGCATATGTGACATACACTTTAATCTGTTATCTGATCATTTAAAAGCTTTATATACTTATACGAGGAAGCAATGCTCGAATATTTGGTCACGAAACTCGGAAACTCGCACAGGCATGATCTCTTGTCTTGTTATTTAAATATGTCGCCCCAGGCCAAATAGTAATAATAGCTTTCAAGCCTATCATTGCCGTGGATATAATATAAGGTAAAACTTTAAATGTATGCTAAACTAGAGCCTTGTTCTGACTACAAAGATAAAAAAACAAATCTTAAAAACCACAACTGGCAAATTTCCAAACTTCCAGAAAAACTATGCGTTGCTAAATAATGGAAGCTTTCAACTGATCTATTAGAATTGCGAATAAAACTGGAAACGTTGCCCAAACGAGCCAAAACAGTGAAAACCGTCAACAGGACTAGAAACCTTGCCAAAACGTGCAAAAACAGTGAAAATTGTCAAAAAGCACTAGAAACATTGCCCAAACGAGAAAAAACAGTGAAAAACCGTAAAAAAGGCTAGAAACCTTGCCAAAACGTGCAAAAACAGTGAAAATCGTCAAAAAGCACTAGAAACGTTGCCCAAACGAGCAAAAACAGTGAAAACCGTAAAAAAGCAATAGAAACCTTGCCAAAACGTACAAAAACAGTGAATAACCACTAGAAAACTTGCCAAAACGCGCAAAGTTTAAAAACACCTCTTAAAAACCACAACTGATAGCCATAACTGACAAAGCTATATTAACTTTCTGATCTCTGAAGATATGAATGTCGCTCTAACTGCATTCAATTTTTAATCAAACTAACCATCAATGTTTCAACATTTGTATTCGAGTAATCTTTAATCAATTTCACCGGAAATATAACGCGCTTTCATGTGGTTAAAGTAATGCATTCATTTTGTAAATTTAACTGGAATAATAGGGTTATTGTTAAAATAGGGGAATCCCCTGTTCCATAGTTGAATTGTCTTTCATTTTCTGAATTGTATAAACTATGAATACATATATATATAAATAAACCTAATACTGGAAAACAAATTGATCTTCAAATTTAAACAAGTTTGATAATAGTCGCAGACGTAATATGTACTTGATTATATTTAAACATTATACATATTTTAATATAGACTTTGTATGTAATCTTAACATATGTATTGATCACCGCCACCTTGTTTTTTCGAGGTGAATCCTTGATTTATTTTATTGAAGCCTTATTTTTACAATTCTAATCTGACATAAAAGTTACTTTTCTTTCTCGCGAGTTATTGATGAAACATGTTATATCACCCCCGTAGTGCACTGTGTTGCAGATATTCAATTTATCAAGTTAAATCATACTTGGACATACGTTTTTACGAGCGCAATAGGGCAGCGTCTTATACTTATACGGTGGCTTGATTTAAATAACTGATAAATCACATTTATTTTACAAAACTTTGCTAAATTATGTGGTGAGTATGTGGAGTATTTATTACGTCATAAGAATACAACAGAGTAAAACGGAAGTCACTGATTAATAACCAGCTAATAAGCGTGACAGTGACATGTCACGAAATCTGGCAAGTACTAAACGATTTTCACAAAGTTTTACAATTTTCGGTTAAAATAGGTTTGTGTCGACATATAATGTAATCAAACCGCTCTCGAGGATTTTCATTTTGTGATGATCAATAGACCATATTGTAGAACATTTTGAGAATTGGAAATAATATTATCTGTCAATAAAGGTTTACATTCGACGCCAAATATCTTCGGTTTATCGCCATATCACAAAAAAAGCATCCAACTAACAGCGTATTGCTGGCATATACTGTACATATTGAATTGGTCATTATTACCAGTCCGGAAGTTCAATACATTCGAGTATCTTTTGTTTGATTATTTCTGGCCCAAGCCTCGTTTTTACTAGGTCTGTGTTTTTTGTAATTTATTTTTGTGTGTGTGTGCTGGTGGGCGAGCACATGATATTTCCCGTTTTAAACTTTTTTGAAGGTTTTGCTCGCCCTCCAGAATTCTCCATTCAAAATTTGTGTATATTATGGAGTAATCAAATAAACTATCTAAAATGTTATTTTCTTTGAATAAAGCACACTTCCTTCATACTATCTGTTATCTTAAGAATGTTGTTAGATATTTGTTTTTAAAATGAGGCGCGAGACTTGACAAATTTCAAAAACGGGACGTGGTTTAAAAAGTTTGAAAATCAATGCGGCCCAGCGAGTACTGAAATGAATACGTTCGCTCCAAAATTCGTCTTCATGTTGCTAAAGTAGTAAAAGTAAAGTAAAGTAAAGTAGTAAAGTAGAATTTTCTCGTTGTGCAATCATCAAACCCAAAATGTTTCCATTTGATCTCATAACCACAGCTGGTCGCCATCTTAGAAAACTAAACCTTCAATGTGATTCACGGATGACTGAAATGAAAATGTATTTTTTTTTCAAAAGATGAATTCCTGATTTATAATATTAACTGGCTGTTCTTAGACTAAGTTTTTTTTGTTGTCGCGTTTTGATCGCATTACATACCTGCGACGAGATCGCCAAATTTTTTTTAGAAGTAGGCGATTCAAATGAAAAAGATTTTGATGCGTTTTCCTAATCCTATCTCGAATGGTCATGTTAAAATATTTCTATTTTCGTAGGCCTTCCACGTATACTAGCTTGCGCGCCAGTGGTGCAAATTATATCGCAAGGTATAAACTTTTCAAATTCAGGCAAATCAAAATCTAATCCTCTCAAATTGTTTTTAAAAATAATACTGCGACCTTCCAAACTCAATGTTATCAAGTAAGTAGACCTCATAGAGACACGTGTCTTATTTTCTTCCGATGGAAATTTCACAATCCATCAAAACTATTCATTGCACCATGATATTCAGATTACGCCGTCGATATATTGCGAAACCTTTCCGCTGGGCATTTTCAAATGAGCACACGAGAACAATTTAGAGGCGATTCATCGTTTCCTCTCTTTCTAAGTTACAATCTCAAGTTACCTTTTATACATTTTACAATGTGGTCCTTCGGCGATTACATTTGGAAATATTGTAAGATTTCGGTGCTTCACTGAGGCGGACCATTCTTTTCATTGGAGAAGAATTTTGATATTTCAGCTACAAAATAGCTCAAGAAATTTGTTGAGATTGCGATTAAATTTAGTTTCGGCACGAGGCTTATTGTTTTGTCACTTTTGCTTTTGTAACACTTACGTCACACTTACATGGCCCGCCAGGCTTAATGGGCAAAATATTTGGCCCCTGGTACGAAAAACCTTGCACACCCCTGGTCTATGAGCAAATACGGTAACATAAAAAGTCAAAATTTGCCCTTTTCACTCCCAAATCAAACTTTTTATAAAAATGAACGCGACTTTCTCAACTAAACATTAATCGGTACTCTTGAGGTATGCTCTTGAGATGTCGCACAACCTGAACCCTAACCTTGTAGACAACCTGATTTCAGGTTGTGCGTCATTTTGGTGCATATACTTCAGGAGGTCCCATTAATCGGATCTTTAGTAGAAGTCCCCACCAAAAAAAAACGCCACTGCCATTTGACACGCAGCTGCTTATGGGGCTTCTACTTAACAATCACATTGAAAGCCTTTTTTGTTTGATCAATCGCCTACTTGTATAAAGTTTTTAGTTTTAACGACGATATAATTTGCATAACAGGCGTACAATCCGGGAACAGAAAATGCTAAATGTGACTTGCAAAGATTTTAGTCGTTTTTTATGCGAAAATGTTTCAACTAGAAAGCGGATAATCT